TGGTTTTTCGTGAACAAGGAAAGATTTCGTGGGTGTTGGGTAGTCACGGGTTCACGTTCTTAAAAGGTTGAATGACATGGTGTTTTAAAAAAAAAAGAAAATAATAACACAACGGAAAATGTGAAGCAAACCAAACAAGACGCGAGGTAAACTTAATTAAATTGGCTTCCCTCGGAAAATGCAAAACCATGAAATTCAATTTAGCACAGAGTTCCTAGATGACGAGCTCCACTCACGGCCATCCTAAATTAGATTTATCGGCTTTATAAATTTATAAACAAAAATATTTAATACTAAAATCATTAAGCTATAAGTTATAAATTATTTAAATATATAATGTAACATTTTTGTCGGAGTATACTTTTTAGCAACAACAATTTTGCATGGAGTTGCACCCAAGGACTTGCAGCTGATGTCCTTCACTCAGAAACATTGTTCATATCCTTGACGATTTAATAGACAAAAAAAAGTGCCGGATTTTACAACCCTTGCAAAGGGTTTTAGTAATGGCATGTCATAATGCAGGACAGTGTTTAATGTACAACGCAGAAAGGGAGGAGTATGCATCGTTTGGATCCAGAGCAGCTTGCCCTTAAGTTTCCCTACTCTATTCCTTTTTTACAAACTTTTTAATGTTAAAAGCATTGAATGATTTTTGTTCTTAACATAATAATTGGCATAATTTTCATAGTAAAAACTTACTTTGAAACTTTGTTTTCTAACAATAAAATGCACCAATTTCGGTGCTAGTTTCGGATCACTCTCAATCTTTATTGCAAATCTGAATCTGAATTTTAGCGAGTCCTTTGTCTAACTCACGAACTGCAACCGCTTGTATATATGGGCATCTTGGGGCCACAGCTCGTATATCATCAAAATATGCGCATATTACTATGTTGTTATGTTCAACCGCCGGCTGTGAACTTATACATTTTAGACAACATCATAAACTTAAGTTCGAGGTTTAGGAAAAATGCGAAATGCGAGAATAGAAAGCTTCGAAAGTGCACACAAAAATCTCCATCGTCGGGTAATCACAAACGGAAACGGAAATGGAAACGACTTGACCACAAACGTTTGCCCAAAAATCTGGGTTTTCAATTGCTTGTGTGTGCAGCTACAGTAAGAATTATAAATTTATACAATTAAAAAAATAAAATAATACTGCAAAGTCCTACATGTAAACATGTTTATTAATTAAATCCACCATTTTAAGATGCAATGTATTTAATATAAAGATTTTAAATATAGCTTAAATAAAAATAATAACATTTTGGATTCAATAGTCAGATGTTTATTTATAGGAAGAGGATTTTAGTTTAAAATTGTATAAGAAATTAAATATTGAAGAACAACATGAAAAGAAAACAAAATTTAAAAAAACAATAAACAAAATACCAATAATATGTACTTTTTCTTAACTGAAGGAAGAACAATTCACAATGTCAACATGTTTCACTGTTCTTGCCGAAACAGTGTGCGTGTTTGCAACTCACGGGCGTTAGTAAAAATCATATTTTTTTCGCCATCATTGTGGGCAATAAAAAAGGGACACGCAAAAGGCTATTTGGCTGTTTCTTGCGAAAGGACTGGAAAGTGTGATTGCTCGTAAACCAAAAGCGAAAACATTTTTCCGACAGCGAAAGAAACATTTTGATTTCAGTTCTAGGCCAAAATAAAATTACCCAAAACAAGCGAAAATAAAAACGGAGAGAGAGCAGCAAATTCATTTGGCTGTTGATTAAGCCGGGCTAATTGAGGACTTAGCGTGGAAACGGAAACACGATGCAGCTGCCTCGAATGTATGCAAATGAGGCACGAAAACCCAGTTGCATTAATTGTTGTGTGCTGTTTTGTTTGGTTTCTGTTTTGTTGTGCTGCGTTTTGAGTGGCAAAAACCTCCATCAACCTTGGTGGGGCCAAGCAACGCAAGGTCATGCTAAAATCCTCCCTTAAACACCCACCCACCCAAGAACAAACACGGACAGGCGGAGCGACAACGACTGCGACTCAGTTGGGAAATATGAAGTATACGCCACGTGCGACACGGCGCAAAAGACAACTTATTTAACACATTATATGCAAGTTCAGATATTCAACTTTAACTCAGGTTAACCCCTCGCAACCATCACCCCCCTCCAGCCCCCGAACATGTGCGAAGAACTTTTCCCTTTCTGCCAAACAAAAACAAAGTTGAGGAGCAGAACTTGCAAGGTTCCATGAAGGAGGAACTCCTTTGGCAAATTTATAAAATTATTCATAGTTTCTTTATGGCACAGGGAAATACAAAATTACTGTGTGAGTTTCTTTGTCTAAGTATTATGCTAAGAACTTGATTTTTTAAGGCCAGATTTAAGTTGTTAGTTTCATTCAATTGCTTGTGTAACTAATTTAAAATCAAAACTTGATTTAATTTTGTTTATTATTAAAAATTGTAAAATGAGATGGCGCATCAGTGTGAAAATAAACGCCCCACTGACCACATCGCTATAAGAAGAAATTTGCAGTAGCTCTGTGCCGCCAATAAGGGCGGTTCGCAAAAGGGGGCGTGACAGATGTAAAATCTGTGAAAAGCGCATATTAAATTCCACTTTAGTGGCAGATGAATGGCAAAGCGAAGAACACATAACGCATGAAGGGGTCGACAGTAGACACTGGTTTCTAATGGAACAAAGAAAAAGTTTAAGCTGTTGAAAAACAATTAAATCTCAATCCATTTATATACATTACAAATAAATATTAGACTTTTAAGCCAAATACAATGAACATATTAAAAACAAGCAAAATCCTGGGTTCCAGCACAGAAATTAAAACAGTTTCGGCTAGAAGTATTTAAAGCTTTAAAAAAAAATCATAAATAAAATTATTACTTTAAAACTTTTTAATATAAATAACATTTGAGCCAGTTAATGTAGGAACACAATGTAATTGATAAATACATGTAATGTAATGTAAAGTAATAGAAGCCTAAGACTTGTAATGTAGAATGTAAGTTTAAATATATTCTTTTTACAACATTTTAGCTAAATGAATAACTGAATTTCTTTTTAAATGAAAGTTAATTAAATTTAAAAACTTTAATAATAGGTAACAAAATCAATAAAACCTATGGCGGAATATATAGCCAGTGCCCACTGTACACTCTGTGTTTGCTCAGCAAGCAAGAAAAGGGCGACTGAACTCCGCTCCTCTTGTCACTTAATTTCCAGCGAAAATCATGCCAACAATGGCAATAAAGTGCCGAAAGGCAAACCACACAAAGAGCCACCTTCGACCGCAAATTGGATGCGAAATGGAAGGACACGGCAGTTGGAGTTCGAGTCCTCGCTGGCCAAAGGATCTGATATGGTGCAGCATGATATACGACAGCTGCATTGGCCATTCGAATGCATTTTTTGCGGAAAAACTGTAGAGACAAGCCGAGAATGTTCCCTCCTCTCTGCTAAATGGATATGTGTTTTTGGTGCAGCTTAGTGCAACAGGTAAAAAAAACAGGTTCAGAAAAAAATGTTAGCAACATAGAAAAATAGTATACAATATTTTGAAATTCTTAAATTATATTATAAATATATTTATTTAATGGGTGTACTCAAAAGCATGTTAAATTATTAATTTTTTAAATAAATTAACATTTAAGGGTTTCGCATGGTCGAAATATTCCCTAGAGTTTTTGTTCTTACATTTCTCCTGCTCTCGATGAACTCTTATATAAATGGCTTGTTTCTTTTTTGATGGCTTCAATTAACAAATATTTACATGCAATTTCACTGCGAAAATGGCAAAAGATGAAAATACCTCCATTTTACAACCGCAACCCCAATGACGTTTTTAATTCGATTTTAAACATGCATATAAACATGGATGTTTACATGCATCATACATAAATAATTTCTTTTACTTCTGCTTCCCCAGGGGCCAAAAATTACAATCCCTTCTTCGCAAAGAAGTTGTAAAAATATTTTTAAATTGAACGCTTTTCTGGGCCACGTTTGAAGTTAAAGGATGCCTGTGCACGTAAAGAAAAATATCTGCTGAACTTATATCTAAAAGAAAGCTGGATTTTTTTAGACACAGACTTTAATCTGTTTTAATAAATTTAAACGCGTTTTTAGGTAAATTTATAATTTATATTGCATTTTAGGTAAAAATAAATAAAAATGGAAGAAATCTTTTAGGTGCAAAAATTTCGGCTTAACAAAAAACTAAAACCAAACAATTGAATTATTTATTTGAAGCCATTATAGTAGTTTGTTCTATTTAAAATTCAATGTTATTTAAGGGTGTAAATTGACTTATTCGGTGTGTAAATAAATTTCCAAAAAATTGTAGTGATTGATGTTTTCTGTGTGCCATTGCAGCCAGTGCAATTTCTGCGTAATTGGAGCAACAATTTTTTGTGCCCCAAGCCGGAAACAGAACCCAACAAATTGAGTTTTGTTTTCCCATGAAATTGTGAAAGCTCCGCCGTAAATCAAAAGTTGCTAGCAGCAAAATGGGGCGGTTTTTTTTTTACACTCCACATGGGCCGCGCATATAAATAAAACTCGTTTTGGCTGCAACTGCGTCCACAAAAACAACAACAGTTGAGAGAACTGAGACCCTTGACCCCACTACCCTTTGCAATTAATTAAAGTTTTATGTGTGGACTTAATCGAAAAGAACGCAACAAAAACAGCCAGATCGAAAACAAGCGATAGCTATTTAAAAAAATTTCAGTTTCAATGAAAATCAATTTGGAGTTTAATAACAAGCTGAACGAGCTATTAAATGATAACATTGGACTAGTATTTTTATTGTTATGGCGAAAATTCATACGAGTAAAAAACTGATCTTTTGTATGCGAAAAACAGGGTTTTTTTGTTAAAAATTTAGAACCAGAATTTTTTGTTGCATCTTGGGTAAAGTTCTTAATTATGGGAAATAAATATAAATATACTTACTTCACAACTTTTTCCATAACAAATAATCCCAACCATAATCGGAGAAAACTCCAACTCTGATTTTGTGTATAAATGTAGTTTATTTTTGTTTCTCGCTGCTGTTTGTATTCGGTCACGTGGTAAGTATTAATAAATAAATTGCATTAGTTAGTATACGATTAGTGTTTGGTTTTAGAAGTTAGTTAGAGGCGCAGTAGCAGAGAGTTCGTTAGTGGGTTCCTTAGTGTTGTTGCCGTGTCCCGAGTAGCTTAGAAATGTATTAATTAATTGTTGTGGCTTTGTGTTTCTGTGTTTTGCAAAAATATTGCACCTGCGCTTCCGATTGGCGATCAGAAGTATTACATATATATATGTATATATATATATATATATTTATATAATTATTATTAACTTGCGTCTTTTGTTGTTACCTGCACTTGAAATATTTAAAATATTTTTTTTAGTTTAGTCGTTTCCATTTAGATTAATAACATATGTATACATATTGGTTTTAATTATTAGCTTTTTGTGGTTTATTTGCCCTTTTGTTTGTCGCTTTTTTAAGTATGCAAAAATAAGCTCTCTCCTTCTATCTCTCCCTCTCTTTCGCTTCATGTGGCGCCGTCTCTGTCTTTTATGTGGCTCCGTCTCTTTCTTATACATTTATGCCCTCGCTTAACAGAAACTAGACAATGCTGAAATTATTGTTCTTCGTATTACTTTTGCTGTTTTGCTTATTGTTTTTGCTTTAGATTTATCATATTTATCGTATGAGTATATATCGTTATGTATATGGCAATAATCGATCGAGAAATGTGCAGATTTCTTGTACAGACATACGTATACAATTAGAATCAATATGCGCTTTGTTTGTTTTTTTTTTTTGTTGTTGTTCTGACGCGTTTTAAATGCATTTATTTTGTTTGTTGTTTTGTTGTATTGCAGGCATGGCTTCGTTTTTCTAAGGCTATTTTGTAATTATAAATATCGGTAATGGTCTTGCAATAATCATACGCAATGGCTCTATACAATAATAAGTATAACGAAATCTAACTCTTTTTTGGCATAAGGTGTGTTGCTTTTTGTTTCTTTTTATCGAAAATTATAAATGTAGTTAAAGAACTAAAGTACGGTAAATTTACATGACAAATAATGGATTAGATCATATCATAAATAATTGCTTGCAAGTAAATTCAATCGAATGCTTAGGCTAGTGGATGCGAGGGAATAGGGGGATGGTTGGGTATTTGTTTTGGGACATTGGGTTTACAATTTCTTGGTTACTTTACAATGACTGCTCACATACACTCGCACTGGCTTTAAATTCAGTCTTTTTCATATACAAAAATGGGAGAAATGACCAAAAAGTAATATCTGCTGGAATAGTAACCATAATCTCCATTGCACATAGTATATCGATTGTGGGCAGTTGAACGATTTATCGACGAACAATTAATCTCATTAAAGGCTTGATCGATTTACAAATTGTAAAATTTTCAACCAAATAAATCATTTAAATAGGCTTAAAACTTATCATTCAAAATTATAAAAACTGATACAAATTCACATACATTTCTCATTAACATAAAAGCTTATAATTGGTCTATTTCTGAATCAATTCCCAGTCGATTCAATTTCAGTTGATGAAACTTAAAGCTGATCGAGTTTCAGATGACGAATTTATAGTTTCTCGATTCCAGCGCAGGCGTGTGAGCAGTTGCATATATTTATATATAGATAGGCGTCTCCTGGCCGGTGAGCAAACGAAACATGGACGTGGGCATCGTCTTCATTAGGATCTGTTAGGAAAATAGTTATGAATCCATATGAAATGCTTTCAAAGGAACTTAATACCTCGCCCACTGAGGATGACAGCAGCTTGACAATCGTATCGTGTGGAACAGCCACGACGCTCTGGTTGTTAATCTCAATGATGCGGTGACCAACGCGTACTCCACCCCGCTCAGCGATTCCTCCACGCAAAAGGCTGCAGATCTGCAATCAAATGGGAAACTATTGATTACAATTTGTTTCGGGACAAACACCTTAAGCTTTTATAAGCAAACAAATGTTTGACTTTTAATAAATTTGTCAAACACGCATATTTGTTTCAAATCCTTTGATTCGATGGTTTAATTGTTGTTTTTAGTGAAATTTAACTAATTCTATTGACAACATTTTTTTTATTCAAAAATTTCCAGACTGTAAAAAAATAGGGACACATATTGAGGTCATGAAAAAAAATGTGAAACGTTTCAGAAATAATCTATATGGTTGATAGATAATTTGTGGATCGTTTTTTTTTTTTTGCTTTGCAACTGGATAACCCCTAAGAGTAAGGAATTTACAAATAATCAATTAAGGGCTATACAATGGCCTTGCCATGGCCGACTCACCACGCCATTTTGAACACTAAAACCCAACTGGAACAGCGCCTTGGGTCGCAGGATCTTGACCTCGACGACGGGCGGACAGGGCACAACGGTGAACTTGACGGCAGTTTGGTTCTTGGCATTGCGAATGTAACTCTGGCAGGTGGACAGCGGCAGTCCCACCAGGCTCATGCCGTTGATGGCGATCAGCTGGTCGCCGATGTTCAGCTGACCGCAGCGGGCGGCTGCGCCGGAACTCATCAGGTTGGCGATCACCACGGTGGGCAGCATGGAGCCCCAGCCGCTCTCGACGATCACCACGCCCAGGATCTCGCCCTTGGCCTTCGGCACCACCACCTCCTTCTGCAGCTCCTTCTTGGCGAAGATCTCCAGCTCGTCGCCGAAGATCTCCTGGCTGTTGAGCACCTCCTGGTAGTCCATCTCCTTGGCCAGGCTCTCGTTCTCGATGCCGTTCGCCTTCAAGAACTCCATGTAGGCCACCTGGTTGACAAAGAACATCATCATTATGGTTGCATGATAACAATTTACTTTAAATGATGATTTGGGTTTCAATTTAATATATTATATATTTAATACATTAATACATTTTTTACATGTCCAGCATTTAATTTAAAGTTTTCAATTTAGTTTTGTTTTACTATTATTTTGTTTACTTATATAAGACGAAAATATAAAATTTTTAATTTCTTACAACAATTTTATTCAAATGGTATTATTTAGTAAAGATTATATTGGTATTATTTAGTAGAGATAATTTAATGCATTTTAACATAATATCATGTTGTTTAAGTAATTGTATAAGCTCTCATTAACGTAATAACTTGTAAGGTTTAGTATGACTATATTTGATAATAGAATAGATTACCTGAAAGGCCTGTCCAATGGACTGGGCTATGAACTGCGCCTCGTCGCTCTCGAACACGTGGCAGATCATCTTGGGCGTGCGGTTGTGCTTGCTGAGTGACTCCTTGGGCGGCGACTCCTCCTCGCTAATGCCCGGACTGGGCACATCGCCCAATGGACTGGCCGTGGCCGGATCCACCACACTGTTGGGCACGAACCGGCGACGGGCCATCAGCACAACCAGGTCACCGATGTCCGCGATGTAGGATATAGTGCGCAGCGCATGGTCCATCATGATCTCCTTGAGATCGGTGTTCAGCACCATTATCTTCTCGGTTGATATGAAGAGGTCCACTTCAGTGCTCGGCTGGCTTTCGCCCTCGGGAGCCTGGTAAGAACAACATAAATATAAATCAATGTCTTAAATCGAGTATTAACTATGAGGGGGGAGTCCATGTTTGTCAACTATTTTATTTAGGTGCCAACGATCGCTTACCAAAGCCTATCGAGAGGAATGCGCAGCAGGGAACGAGAAAAGCGAACGAGAAAGTTTTAGACACACACACGCACACACACATTGAGCGAGCATAGAGCATAGCCTAGCGGGGTTTTCTTGGATGGAGGTTGCTGTACGCTTCCCTCAAGAGGGTTCACTGTACCTACCTTGATCCTGGACACCGCCTCCTCGGCCTGCATCATCCTGGTCGACTTGGTCGGCTGGCCCTCGCAGACGAGTTGGGTGGATCCGAGGTATCTGGCCCGGAATAGCACGCCCTCAATGAGAACTTTGGGTTCCAGGAGACCTAAAGCGTTACGCTTTCTTATTAATATCGAGGAAATGGTTTAATTGTTTATGTGTTTTAAATAAAACTAAACCAGAAAGGAAGAAAACTTCGAAAGATAAACATTATGTACCCTTGTAGCTATTGCAAGAATTAAATATTCTTAAAAAAAAAACTACTTCTAACTACTACTAATAATAAACCATTTCTATATGTTGTAGTTTATTGAAATAAACTGAAAAACAGAGAAGTTCTAGTTCAATTATTCATATGGAAGCTATATGATATAGTCGTCTGATATTAATACAATTAAAACCAGTACTATATACCGAAAAATATTTAAAACAAATTGATAAACAGTGCATTTTTTTCTACTTTATTTTTATTTTTTCATTTGCTTCAATGGGAGCTTTATGATAGAGTCCTTTGGTTTTAATAACATTAAACGATTAAAAAAAATAGAGAAGTTTTAATTTCAGTTCGAATGAGAAATTTACAAACAAACCAAAAATATAGCTAAATCTTCGCCTGAAAATAGAGACTTACATAATGTCACAGAAATATCACATAAAATACAGATTGCAGCGTGAAATGTGGAGTTTGGTTCGAGTTATCAGTAAACGACAAAACGGGGGGCGTTGCCCAGTATATATATGCATATATATGAAGAGTTTTAGTTTGCTTACCCTCCTTGTTGCGCGACTTGGCCTTCTTGTCCGAGTTGGCCGAGTCCTTCAGCGACTTGATGGAGCCCGTGGGACTCTTGCTGAACTGCAGCTTCTCCGGCGAACTGATCGAGATGTCGGCCGTGCCCACGATTTGGCAGATGTCCGGCGAGTTGGGCGTCAGCGAGGTGCCGATGCCCTGCCGAATGGTGGCCGTCGAGTAGGTCTGCGGCTTGGCATTGGTCATCGGATTCGGGTTGTTGTTGTCCGCCGCGCCATTCAGATGCCCATTGCTGGCGATTTCCGTGCCCTCGTTGGCATTGCTGTCCGAAAGGGGCTTTAAAACATAAAGTGTTATTAACAAACTATAATAGTCGTTTTTAAGCTTATGTAAATAGCTATAAAACTAGATAAAAGGCTACTTTTTAACATTGATTTTTTTCCGTAGAGCTAATTTTGTATACTAAATGGGGCACATATAAAAATCCACATTAATAAAAGTAATAATATTAAAAAAAAATTTTAAAAATATAAAAAATTAAATTAATTTTTTTTTCTTAAAGCTTATACTATAAACCAATTGGGGCATATATACAAATTCACATTTATCATAGTTATAATATTTAAAATACTGAATATATATAAAAAAAAAATTAAATTGATAAAAAAAATGTTTTTAAATTATATAATATAAAAATTATATAGAAAAACATTTTAACATTTAATTAACAGTTTTATTTATCATTGACAAACTAAAAAAATGAGCCCAATTTAAAAAAAAAAAAAAAAAGTTGTCCTAAGCCTTAAAAACATAACATAACTACCAGTTATCCGACCGCAGTTGTATTTTCCTTACCTGATCGGCGAAAAAATCCTGCTCGTCGTGCCGCTGCTGACCCAGCAAGCGATCCGTTTCCAGATCGGTGTCCGGTTCCTCCTCCGCCGCCGCAGCAGCCTGGGCCGCCGAAACCGTCGTCGTTTTGCGCGGCACCCAGACCGGGGAATCCGGATCAGTGGTGAGCACCTCGTCGCAGAACTTCAGCTTTTCCGGCTGCGTTTTGGCCCGCTGCAAGGCGGAACGTATCTCTTTCATGGCCTCCTGGATCTCCGAGGCGGCATGCGATGGCAGCGATCCTCCGGCGGTCACTGTAGTGGCCGACACTGCCAGTCCCGATCCGCCAGACTTTTCGGCCAGTGAACCTCCCAAGGCTGCCGCATAAACGGCACCGTAGTGACTGTCCAATGGATTGTCAGCATCTGCTGCGGCGGCCATGGCCATCGACTCACTGGCATCGGCTATCTCGATTTGGGGCGGCGAGGCTGGCGGCGCAGCCGGCGGCATGGGCATGGGCAGCGAGGCAAAGTCGCTTATCAGCGCCGATTGCGAGGCATCTGTGGTCAATGTGGCCATGCTGGCACTCATCACATTGTAGTCGTTCTCCAGCCGCTCGCCATTTCCATTACCATTGCCATTAGCATTACCATTGCCATTAGCATTCCCATTGTGCTCGCTGTGGACGATGGGTTGCGTGGATTGCGATTGCGAGGACTGCTGCTGCTTGTCACAGATCACGGACACATTGTTCTCCGTGTCGGAGGCGTGGCCACTGCTCAGGCCGTCCTCCAAGACGGGCATGCTCGTGTACAGCTTGCCATAGTCCGTGGGGCAGTTGATGTCGTTGGACAGACTGTCCAGGTCGCCGCAATTCGAATCGTAGTCCGTGGTCTCCGGCGAGAGGGTGAAGTTCCGCGAGTGCCGCCGCAGATTGGCCTCCAGTTCCGTGTCCGCCAGATCGCCGCTGCTGCGGCTATTCGAATCGATATACAGCTCGATGTCATTGTGCTCCTGGTGGTAGGCAGTCGCAGGCATCTGTTCACTTTGCTGCAAATGAGTGTTATGTTAGACCTGCTCTTAACGACACTGATTTCCAGATGACTCACTGGCTTTTTAATGGGCGAGCGGTGCACCATGTAAAGCTCATCTTTGGGTATTCTCGCCAGTCGCTGGCCAATGTATGCCTGCTCCAAGGGCGTGGCCGGGTACTCCTGTTGCTGTTAGCCAGAGAAAAAGGATTAATTCCTATTCGTATGCCAACAGTTACTAAACATCTCACTTACAGAACTGGCCACATCGTCGCCACTTTCCGTGGTGTATCCGTCCGTGTAGCGCTTCTCATCCTCCGGATTCGCCTTGAAGAACTCCTCGAGCACCTTGCGCGTCTCCGAGAATTCGTACAGGTAATCGAAAGTGGGGGTCGTCTTCTCGCGCAGCGCACCCGAACGCTCCTCCTCGTGATCGATCAGATCGATGAGGTTGCCCACGGAAGCCTTGGCCGATGCATTTGCATTTGCATTTGCATTTGCATTAGCAGTTGGATTAGCAGTTGCATTTGCATTCGCATTCGCCGCACTGGTTGTGGGCGAAACTCTTTGCGGAAATCCCGGCGGTCGTTTCCGTGGGCCACTCAAGGTGGTCTGTGTGTTTGTGCCCGGCTGACTGCCAAATCGACGCGGCGATCCCTCGTACTCGGCAATGGGCAGCTGGCCAATCATCTTGGTCACCTTGAGCACATCCTCGTTGCTGCCCTTCCGCTGGCCACTCGACGCCTTGTTCATCCAGTTGGTGTCGATGTCGTCGAACACCACGATCTCGCCGTCGCGCAGGCACTGCCCGTCCGCTTTGCCCACATCCGTTGGCGAGCCGGGACTGGCCAAGCCCTGTGAAGAAATCAAGAAGTATGGTTATAACGGGCTAATTGGTGGTCTCTAAGATTCACTCTCACCTGCGGCAGGACATCCCGCGTCTCGAACTGGCTGCCTGGACTTCGGCCCAGCCGGATCTGATGCAAGTGCGGTCGCTGGTAGTAATAGCCGCCAGCGTCTCGGGCCGCATTCAGGCCATGACCGCCTGCGCCGGACGGCGAGAGGCCCTGCAGCGGAACGTAGGACAGCTCGGCATTGAGATCCGGCGAATTGAGCACCGTGCTGGCTGGCGTCACATTCGGACTACGGGTGCGCATCTCCCACACATATCGCTCCTGCTGCTGATGCTGCTGCTGTTGTCCTTGGAGCTGCTGCGATTGCTGATGCTGCTGATGCGTCTGCTGGCCAAAGGTCATCTGAGTGTGCGACGGATTGACCATGGACTCGTTGCTGCTGTCGCTGCAGGAATTGGAGTTCATGGCTGGACTGCAACTGGGACAATCTCCGGGACAGAGGGATGTGGGTGTGGATGTGGATGTTCCTTCGGTAGCTACTACTGTTCTAGTGCTGCTGCTGCTGCTGCATCCGCTGCTGCTGCTTCTGCTGCTGCGATTGCTGCCTCACTGTGGGTCACTGCCTGGAGGAGAATGGGTGATTAGTCGATGAGCTAAGGCGGCTGTGAATCACTGCACTGCACTGCAGCACAGCCCAGCAGAAAAAAAGTCAGGGACAGGTGACGTATTGCCTTCCACACCCTATCATGGGGAACAATAGTTTTATGGAAAATAAACAAATATCAAATTAAAATCTCTAGCTCTATTTCGCTATTAATCCTTTGATTTAAAATATATATCGCGGCTTACTTATAAATTCCTTAAAAAGGGATTTTAAAACTGAGATTTTTTTTAGAGATATGCGCCTTTTTTAATTATTTATTTATAATTACGGCTCATTTCTGTATTAGATCTTTAGGCTATCGTAATCGCATGAGTTCTGCTGGGTTATTTAAAGATTTCTCCCTTCTTGTCTAGTCACTGTAAGCTATCCAAATCAATTTATGAGATTTCTGTTATACGTTTGCATTTTATAGGTATTTTGAGATTTCTTATTATAAGTTTGGATATATACATATAGATATTCCTTATTGTTTTGCATACACACACACTAAGTATGTGAGTTTCGGGGTGGTGTTGCATGAATCTTAATGTTGCTGCTGGTGTGGTGACCTCTGGCTTAATGGTGACCCTTGTTGGCCAGCGAAATCAATGCGGGTTAATTAACATTAACCCACTACTGGCCTCTGCCTACATGTCTACATGTGTCCCCTTTTCCGGGGTCCCGTGTCCATGGTTTGGAATTGCGCACACGTAAACTTGGCCTCCAAAAGTCCTCGCGCAGGCAAAACAAACGCAGGAAAGACAGGAAAGGAAGCTGCTGCTGCTGCTGCTGCTGCTGCAGCCAGACACAACAACACGGGGTGGTGGGTGGTGCAAGTGGGTGGGTTGGTGGTTGTGTGGTGCCCTCAGGGGGAGTGGCACTGGCGGTGGCGGTGCCCCTTTGTTGTCGCCGATTGTTGCAATCACTAAACCGCCGAGGAGGCGTGGGAAAAAAACAAACTCCCCCTTTCCCGTTATGTGTGTCTATACATGTGCGTATTGTTAAAAATCAATAGATTTGCCGTGTTTTTTTTCGCAGCTCCTTTTTTTTTTGTTGGTGGAGGAACCGCACAACACACACACAAACAAACACACACCCGTCGCACAACAACAAACACACACTCGCGACACTCGAGCAGTGGCAACAGCAACAACAACTGCAACGTTTGCAGCAGCGGCGGCAGCAACAACAAAAGCAATGCAAGCGAAACAACTCCGAAAACAACACCTGTCGCGATTTTATATTTACCATTTAATTCATATTTATTGCACTCCTTCAGCAAACTCGATTGGCGCAGAACGATTGGCAGCCATTTAGATAGATTCCGAGCTATCGATGCCCGAGAGCGCATATCGATAACACCCGCGCACAGTGTTGAGCAATGTTGAAGAGTACCTAGTCGGGAAAGTGGTACGTAGGCAGGTGCAATTTAAAATTATTTTGACCTCACCTAGATCCTAAATTTAAACAAAAAATTCAAAGGTAACGTCTATTAAATTTGATGTAAAATCGATTTTATTCCAGTAAATGTAGCTTAACATTTGTAATAAAAATGTTCTGCATATCTGAGAATACTTTTCACTTGTTTTAAGGGACCTTAACCGATTTGGATTTTTAAATATTGTTAAAGTGTTAGTCTCCTAATTTGAGTAAATTTGTTTGAGGTCCAAAGTATATATCCTTTTCTACTCAATTAAAACCTTTTAGAAAATGAATCTCTTACCCGTACCCAAGTACTAATTAACTTTAACCTTACCATTTACCAAGGTACATTTTAGCTTTGTGCCAAAAGCATTTCCAACACTGTTGGTGGGTAGGGTTTCCCAACGATATGGCCACGCCAATGAATAACAGTTTTTCGAATATTTTCAGTTTAGCATTTAATGATTTATGTACCATCTGGGTTTTGTTTAGTGTTTAATATTTGCAACGTGTTCGAACGGATAATACAATTACAAGTTGTGTATAAAAGTTCGATGAGCAAAATTGACAAGGATTGTGTGGCAGTAAACAGTTTTTCTTGTTCTTCATTAGCTTACACTTCTTTGATATATGTATGTATATATATTGAAACAATTGTATGCGGTGTTGCTTGAACTTCAGTGAGAATAAGTGCTTTTGGCGAGAAAATTTCAAATACTGTTGCTCAGAAATTGTTTGTTTTCATCATTTTGATTTCCCAGTTCTTTTTTTCCTTTTAAACTTTTAAAATTAACATACTTTCAATAAGAGTTTATTTAACATTTTGCGCCAGGAACAGATTATTTTTGCTAAAATTCCAGCAACACCGATGTGTATGTGTGATGTTTTCTTTTAATTGTTGTTTGCTTGCTTTGCTTTTAATACAGTAATTACAGTGTAAAGTTGCTCTATAGGCTAAACTGGAAGGAATGATTGCGTTTAATTGTTGGACACAAAGTTGGAAACTTAATAAATAGGTGTGATTAAAATTAGGCTTAGGGGGCGGGGAGGTCGATAAAATAGTTAACAATATAAATAAGGTTTAATAATTAACTAACAGATACGAGTACGAATGGGTTTTATTAAAAGAGAGAAGTGGTTAAGGAGGCTTGAGTTAACAGCCAAGACCAACAAAAACATTGCGCACTTAGGATCTACACGTACACTAAACATAATTTTGGTAGTTTGGGCTTAAACTAGTTGCTCGTTTTGGTTGCCTAACATTAGTAAATACATACACACGCTTAAACGCTACGCTACTTAATGATTATGATGTCTGGTTTTAAATCAGGAATTCCACAGAAGAACGAATCCAAATTCGGAATAGAAATTGAAATTCAAATGAAACTACAAACGAATGAAAATGAGTTGAGAACTGGGGGACTTCCAACCGGAAATTAAAGCTTTGTATGTTTGACCGTATCCGTCCAATAGTTTTGTATTGTCATCGCCTCCAGCGAATTGAGAAACGAGTCGTTATCCAGGCTGTACATCTCATCCGAGTTGTCCTGCAAAATCAAGCGAGAAAACTACTGAGTGCATAGGAATTTCTAGAGCTGCAGGCAATTGGTCAACGAATCCTTACACTCACCCGCATGGTGCTGTCATCGATGTAGACACTCGAGTCTGGTTCACTGAGAGCCTGCGGCTTGTTCAGATACCGTCGACGGTACAGGACGATGCCGATGGTGCCCACTGTGCAGCAGACGCCGAAGACAGTGAAGCAAATCGCCGAAATGGCACCCGCATCTAGGAAATACGTTCGCTGAAAAATACAACAAAATTTCAAATCGTTAAAATTTTGTTTTTATTTGTTAAGCCATTGAATTAAAATTATTTTACCTAAAATTAAGGAATTTTGTTTTCTGTTTTGTGTTGCTTAAGAATTAAAAAAAAAATTCGATTTGTTTGATAAATGGTGTAACTCCTTTATTTAGTTAATTATAGGTTTCACCCACCTGAATGGCCAGGGCCTCTGATGAGATGTTGCCCTCGTCGCCAACGGCTCCGTCATAGAACCCTGATCCGGATGCGGCCCCGCCCCCCGACACGCTGGGCGCCGCGGAGGCGGACCTGGTCAGCAGACTCTTGGTGTCGCTGGAGAAGTTGATGTAGCGATTGATGTGCTTGTATTCCGCGGACAGGACCTTGGACTTGCGGGATCTATGCTCGCTTTCGGCCCGCCTAAGTTCGTCCTCCTTGTTGGCATTTTCCAGGGTGAACGGTGCCTTTTCGCCCTCGCCCTCGCCATTCCCATTACCATTGCCCGTGACCCCTGACCCCGCACCAGCATGCGGCAGGAGCTCATCGGACAACCACTCAGTGTTGATCTTGGGCGTCGATGGAGTAGCCGCCGAACCCGATGGCATGGACGTCGATGTGGATGCACTGGCTCTGGGCCCTGGTGGTTTCGCAGTGGTCGGCGTTGAGGCCACCGCTCTGGTGGTGGTGGACGTTGTTCTTGTGGCCGGACTACTGCTGCTGATTGCAACGGGTTTTGTGGTAGTGCTACTGCTGTTGCTGCTGCCATTTGTACTGATCAAAATACAAAAGGGAAACAGTTTAATAATTTAAAGACCATATTTTTATATTAAAACAATTTACTATTTATATAAAAACAATTTACATGATCACAATAAATAAAAGCTATCAAATAGCTTTAAATATAAACTGATAAAAAAGGGGGAACAAATTAAATAGTAAATGTAAATATATTGTAATTAAATCCCACACTTTATATTTCTCTTTTATATTAAAGTTTATATAAAGTAAAACCAGAGTATTAATATTTAAACATATGAATTCATGTGTAAAATATAAGAGTTAAAATGGATGCTATTTTTTTAAAGTGCAGTTTTAGGCCCAGTTTTAGGTTTAATTTACATTTTCAAATGTTCATATTTATTAAACAAAATATTTAAAATAACTAAAAAAAACAAAGGATGAAAATCAAAGCGAACAATATTTTAGTTGAGTATGAAATACTTTGATTTACTACGCTTTTTTTATAATATCAATATTTTATTGGTGAACATACCTAGTGCTACTGCTGAAATTCGTAAAGTTGTTGAGCTGCTCGGAGGTGAAGTCCGCCGATCGCTTGAACTCGAACTGAGCCAGCTCCTCGTTAGCCGCAGTTTCCTCGGTATCCGCATCCGCATCCGCATCTGCATCTGCATCTGCATCTAGATCTGGATCTGCATCATCTTGATCCTGTTCCTGATCCGGATTCTCTTCCTGCTCTTGACCGCGATCGTTGAGCGGCAGCTCATCTTGCTCCTCCTGCGGCTCCACCGCCTGGTCGACATCATCATCATGGACATCCAGCTCTTTCAGTTCGGGGTCACCATAACTTGGGGTCACCACCGGACGGCTGGTGGTGGGTCGGTGGGTCAGGTCCATGATGTTGCTTTGGGTGGCGGGGCCACCCCACGTCTGGGTCACCGTCGTCTGGTAGAGCTTGGTGGTGCGAACGGGCTGCGGATGCGGACTGGAAGCCACCGATTCCGCCTCCTGGCTGGGATATGTGTGGACATGGCTGGACAGCAAGTTAACTGCGGAAAATTCAATAGAATTTAATGAAATACACAAAAGTCTACACAAATTGGTAGATTAGTCAATAAAAACATTTGGTTGATTGAATACCTATGCTACATTTGATATATACATTTGCTAAAAGTATTAAAATCAACAATGTTCAATTAAAAGAATAAAAAAAAACAATGTTAATTTAAAAAAATATGAAACTACTTAAAATTTGTTCAAAATTCTTTAAACTATTTTTTAGTTTATTTACGATAATTCAAAATGTCAATAGTCGTTAAATTTCCACTCTTAAAATAAATAACTTTACAAATTTATAGAACTTTGAGAAAATTTCCATAAAATTTCGTTAATAATATGTTAATAATATGTTAAAGTCGCTTTTAAAATACTTATTTTTCCCTAGCCTTGGTCTTTAAAAAAGTTCAAAAAGGGATTTTATTTTCGCCGCAGCTCAACACATTATTACTATTTAGGGACTTACCACTCAGGATCAGGGTTATCCAGAACCAGTGTGACCACCAGTAGAAAGTCATGATGTGTCCCGTTCTGTGATCTTGTGACGACTGCTCCCAAACGCTGGAAGAGATGGGGAGAAAGAGTGGGTGAGGATGAGTCAGTGGTTGGGGGAAACAATTGGCATTAAGTGTGCGGAGCTCACTCTCGATGAAGTCATCGAAATCGCGTTTTTGAAATACGCTTAACATTCTGAGAAACGAGTTTAGTCGCCTGTCCCCGGAGGAGTTGCCATTTTGGGGCATTTCTGGGTGCCCCACTCTCATCCCGCCTACACAGAAAAAACACTAAATCCCTTGAGACTGTTTAAATAATTATGGTTTTTGATATTGTTCATGCGTACTTGAGACTTTATATGAATATAAAATGTTGAACATTATATTACATTAACCATTTTTTTTCAATATGGATTTTTATATTTTTTATTGATAAAATCGGTTTTTTTTTCTCTGTAGCCACCCACCGAAGGTCGACGACTTGTGTCATATACAAATGCCTTCTTCAGTCGCATCTTCGAATGAGTATTTTCAGCCGGCCCATCCCTTTTTTTGTTAATACCATTTCGAGTTTTCTGCCCACGCGAAAAACAAAAAGATGTAACTGTCTTAAATGGCTGTGACTGTATGGGCCACCACTTCGGCCCTCTTGTGCTTGCTCTTAATTGTTTTGCCGCTTTGTTCTGGCCAACTGGCAATACAAATAAAGCCAACAAGCAGCCGTTTAATGGGGTAGACGCTGCGATACTCAGCCAGTACATAAATAACAGCAGAAATTGAAAGAAATCAATTGTTTTTGCTTCTTTAAGATGTTTAGTTGGCTTCAATTTGTCAGCTTAAGAAATATAGAATTGGATGTTGTGCATGTTAACACATTTGTATATACATTACATTCAAACCTAAACTTACTTGTAACATTTTTAAACATTCCATACATTTTATTTTATAAAAATAATAAATGTAAATGCTTTGCATCATTTCTTTGTTGTCGAACATTCCCTATAACTACCAGGTACTTGACAAAGAATAAAATTAGCATTCCAATTTTGGGCGGCTGTGAAAATACAAATTTAGTGGTAGCTAGCTGGGTTTCTTGTTTTTGTTTTTGTTTCTTCGTATACACAAACTTTTGGCAATTCCCAGAGCCGAAAACCACAATTTGAAGCCCGGCCTAATTCGCATTTGTGCGACGCGCACATTTGCTTGTGCTAAAAACGAGCCGAGAATTTTGTTTAACGTATTTTACCCATTTATTTGGGTTAATTGTCTTGTTTGAAGTTGTTTTCTCCGGCCGATAAGATAGACGTAGGAAATACATATCTATAGATGTGCCGACTGATGAAAAGTGCACCTCGAACATTACGCATACGCCACTTGGTCCACAATACCATTGACATGACGGCAACAGGCGTTAAAGGTCGCCAGTGCCATTTGGCCGCCTGCTTTATGTTTTGATGCTCCATGGTAATTTGAGGGCCCATAAAACAAAAACAGCAATTGTTTAAAACCCGCGGGCTTTATTGTTAACAAAGCCAGGCGGCAAATAGCGAAGTTCTGCGAACCATAACGATTGACATCCATACGAGACTGGGCTTCATGTTCAAGCCTCGAGCGAAATGGTATGCTAATCTCATCAGCAACGTTAAACAATTTGCCCACCAGCCGGAGGAAAACACAAATACACCTCGTCTACAGATCTGCATATAAAAACAATAGTTTCAAACAAGCAAAAAAAAACTACTTTCATTAACTTATGTTTACTTATCTACTGATTATAGAAATTCATAAAATGCTAAATATTCTGATTTAATTTTAGTTCGATTTTTTGACCTTCCTAACTTTTAGTTATTATTCTTATATTATTTGAATTTAAAAATAATCAAAATTAAATTAAATTTAGCCAACAATTAAAAAAAGTTGTTAAGCATTCGAAAAGAATAATTACAAGTTAGTAATAAAGACCTTTAAATGATTAAATTCTTAACTGCAATGCCATTTAATGCCATATTATTTTGAATAGTGCTTTATAGTCGTATATCTGCCATCTGTGAGCCGCATTTTCGAATTGGACTAAAGGCTCGGGGCCCTGAGCCCTATATGCAGACCATTTCATAATACCACAGAGGCAAAAGCCAGCAAAGAAAACGGAGGAGAAAAAACCAAATGCACTTTCATATGCCCGCAAAACTGGAGCAAGTGCCTCCACATTGCAATTAAACCCTGGCACAAAGAAAACACCCAAGGAAACACATAGATGTTTGGTCGAGCCACCAGATACTCTTTTTTTTCACAGGTAAAATATTGTTTGAATTTACTCACACATTTATTTTTTTCGATTTGTTATCAAGATCTAACGAGAGCCATTATTTAACAACTTTTTATGTTCTCATATTTAATACGGATTAACTGGCTTGACTAGCGCCCTGAATAGTCGTGATTAATAACAACCGGATCGCAAAGCTATAAACCAGTACGATATTATTTGCATGACAATTAAAATTATAATCGTTTTAAATATGATGGAGTGGGGCAATACACTGTTATTTAAGAAATTAAAGCAAGTGGTTTCATTTTAATATGACAAAAAATAAGTTGTATCAAATATTTATATAAAAAAAAGTACTCATAATAAAATAAACAAGTTTAGAAACTTATTTAAATGGGTCCATTAAATGAAGCTGAAATTATGAATGATTAATACAGATTAAAATACGAAGCAAACATTATTTTGTGTTTTTATTATTATATATTGAATTTTGACAAATCGCACAACAAAACGCTTATACCCAGTTGGAAAAACAACCACCTTAAAGAGGGAGAACACAACGAAAATTAAAGAAAATAAAAACAAGGCAACCTTCAAGTGCAGGCGACAACGGCGAAATTGAAAAGGCAAAGTGCAATAATTATATTCAAAGGGGCGGTGGGCGGCACTGGAAAAGTGGGTGGGAAAGTTGACGCTCACTTTCTATTCACGGCACGCAAGTGCTGGAGCTGGAATCCCCCTTCAACGATTATTACTTCAGAGCTCAGAGATCAACAATTTAACATCTAAGTTTCAATTGATAACAACCAAAGAAAAAGCTCTAGCCAAAAAAAAAACAAAAATAAAAAAATAGTTTATATTTATATACAGGCATGCGAATTAAGACTGGTAAATTTAAATTTTGTTAAAATGGATTTCGTGGGACGTAAATTGCGTTTAATTTGAGAACTAGACTTTATAATTTTCTAGTTAATTGCGGAAAGCCCTTATAAAAATGCAAATATTAAAAAAAAAAAAAAAGGTTTGAGAAAAATAAGTATGCATATAATTGGTATCCGAATGAATAGAAGAGACCCCAGGTGATCTCATCAATATTTGTTTGAGTGCCTTTCATTGCGTAAAAATAAATACATTTATTGAATTTAGCAAAGTCCCGCCACAACGGCAAGTAATTGTTACTTTTGGCACAGTCGAAACCCATTTTGCTGGTTGTCCCTGCCATTTTCTCGCATTTCACTTATTTTCACCGAGTGTAAGGTCTCTCATTGTCTCAGTCTACCCACTTATCTAACAAATAAGTTCATTTTCGGTATGCAAATCGAAAGTGAAGGCTCCCTCACTTTGCAGAACAAAGTGAAATTTCATTTCCATGCTCTCAGCATACGACACACAAAAATGCCTCTAGATCGGGGTCACCACCAAGTAACGTGCGTGTCACAACTGCAAAACAATTGCTACCGTGGGCATCAATTAATATTAAGAGCAAATGGTTATGCTAAAACTCAGATGCTTTAAATACATTATAAAAGCATATTTGTAAATTTATATAATGCAAATGCAGGTATACTATATTAGTATTTAAAATTGATCACAAATATAATATTTACTAAGTCGTACTAAAAACGAGGTATTAATCAGAAAATCAATCAATTATCTTAGTCAGTAATTCATAATCATAAGACATTCGATATATGTTCATTACAGTATTACACTTAATTAAATAATTTGATGACAGGCTCGAATTACTTACATAAATGTTTGCGTTCAGTGACCAGCTAGCTTTCTTTAATAATTCCAATGATTCCAATCGGTAATGCACTAAATTCCATTAATCATGCGATAGCTTTGGTGGTTTTTTGATTTAATATAACCATTTTCACAGGCGTTATCGAATATTGTTGATTAGATAAGCCCAGCTGATGTGATGACTAAATCTAAATTATATTTTAACATCCCAATGATTTACACCAACTAGTAAATTATTGGAATGTCAAAACATAATTTTATGCTTGACAAAACTTTATTTTGCACTTTAGGGCAACTCATCTAATTTGATTTCCGCTCAGAGACTTGGTGGCAAAAAAAAAACCCTTTTGTTGGCATTGGTTTGGTAATATTAGAAAACGAAACTGTCTGCCAAACAATTGACGCTGACAAGTTGATTTTTTCCTTCATTCCGTTTGTGGGTAAGCTGCTCATTTTTTCCTTCTTTTTTTCGCACATTTTTCACTTTCTTCTGCTCTTTGAGTTCGGATTAAAAGTGAAATTTTATGGCTTTTCTATATATTATTAAGACAACATTTTTTATTTTAATTCTAGCTGAGAGCTTTGACTAGTTCAAGTTTGTTTACTACTTAGAATTGATATTCTAGACATAACTATTTTAAAATATTTTTGCTTTATAATTTTACTTATATAACTAGGGCAATAAATCACTGATCACTGATCAATGTATAGGCTATGCTGCTAAACGAATTCCTAAGCTATAGTAAGGCGAATAACATTAAAATCGTTATTAATCAATTAAACGAATAAGGCCCTTCAGCGAGGTAAAAAAAATATTGACGATCGACCCTTCGACATAACATTTCTGATATGATGTTTGTAGTCTAGTAGAATATCATAATTTTGTTCGCCTTTTCACATTCTTCCGCTAAGCATCGTCACTACGAGTTTAGGTATTAAAAAAAAAGACTTATTTAACATAATGATACATTTACTTAAACATTCGTAAAAAGATAGAGATACATTTCAGTAACCTTTTTTTTTATTTGTTACATCATCAAACTTCTCAAAATGGGACTAAAAATGAATTTTCGTTTCCTTTTGTTTCGTGATGTGGACGGGTAATAAAATATAAATGATTTGCGTATGCAACACAGCACTCCCGATACTCCGTCCGGTTTTCACTGCATGCTACCGTGGTTCGAACGACTGGATTAACTGCAGTCTGGCATACGGTACGGAATGTAGTCCGGCCAATATTGGGGGTACGACTGCTGTGGCAGCTGTTGCTGCTGCTGATACTGCTGCTGCTGTTGCTGCTGATACTGCTGCTGCTGCGGCTGCTGCTGCATCATTATTGGATAGCCCGACAGCGGAGTACTGAAATCCGTTGGAATGCCCACCACCTGCATCATCGGTTGTGGTTGAGGCTGCACTTGGGCATAGGCTTGTGGATAGGCTTGTGGATAGGTTTGTGGATGGGTTTGTGGATAGACTTGGGGATAGGCTTGAGCATAGGGATAGAGATTGAGGTTGGGATCATAGCCGGGTGCTGGCTGCGTTGTGTAGCCATTGAAGTGCTGGCTGGGCACAGAATAGGCGGCTGCGGCCGGCTGATAGACCGGCGGGGGATTGGCCATGGTCGCCACCGGTGGATTCCAGAGCTCCCTGCGCAAGTCCTGGGCAATGGCCATCAAAGCAGTCTCCAGCGGAACGTCCTGCCGCGAGATGGCCGCCTGGAGGCTCTGCTGCTGCTCCGGAGTCAACATGAGGGTGGGCGACTCAGTGGCGCCGTATTGAGGGGCCCCACCATCGAGCGGCTCCTGCATCGAGTAGCTCGTGAAGGTCATGCTCTGGAAGTTCATGTTCAGGGTGGCGGGGTCCAAAGGCGGCACTTCGTAGCTGCCCAGTGGCACCACCTCCATGGTGGTCGGTATTTCTGGCCCATTGGTGCCCATGGTCGGCGGTGTTATGGTCTCCGTGGTCGATGGATCAAAATAGTCATTATTATCTGGCTGCTGCTGATCCTGCTGCTGCTGCGGCTGCTGCGGCTGCTGCGGCTGCTGAGGATAATGATCTGGCTCATCGGAACTGAAGTCGGTGTCGTCCTCAAGTCGCCAGTCCTGGTCCACTGGAAGTTGGTCAGATGCATCCTGGCTGGTTGCTGGATCAGCATAGGGTGGATCTTGCTGCTGCTCCGGGTAATATTCGACTGGACCTGGAGCCAGCTGATGCTCCTGCTGAAGCGGCTGCTCAGTGAAGACCTCCTGCTGCTGCTCCTCTGCCTTCTGCACAGGCAACTCTAGGCTGTTCTGCTGCTCCTGCTGCTCCTGCTGCACCTGCTGCTCCTGCTGCACCTGCTGCACCTGCTGCTCCTGCTGCACCTGCTGCTCCTGCTGCTCCTGATGTCCAGTTGTTTTAGGAATCGAAGGAGGAGGGGGACTCACAGTTGGGGACTGCTTCTTGGGCGTCGAAACTTTATTCTCCTTCCTCGGCGGCACTATCTGCACTATCCTCGGCGGCTGTAGTATTGCCATCGGCATTTCCAATTTCTGATTCTGCGATTTAATCAGGAGCTTGAGCTGCGCCTGCGACATTCTGGGGAATTTTCGATTTGGCATCTTGGTTGGAATTTACTTTTTGTAACGTTATTATGTGTGTGTGATCCTGATCAGACGGTTTGCCAAAATGAATTAACGAAAAAAAGGAAACCTAATGACAGTTGACATTTTGAAAAATTTTACTGCCTACTAGGTTGAAAAATATGAGGCAATACTTTTGTCAACACTGCTACATATTCCAAATCCACCATTTTCTATTGCAGAATATTTTTCTTTATACTTAAATTTATATAAAAAATATTAAAATGTCATTAATTGATTTCACTGGCTTAACGAAATTTTTTTTATTTACGCATAACTAATTGACAACACTTAATTTATAACGATATATAACACTAAAGTTAATGGTTCAATTATTTTAATAATTAAAAGATTCTATATAATTTTGACAACATTATTCCAAATTCTTAATTTCAGTACAAAAAACCATTAAAAAAAAGATAACCGAAACATTTTTTGATCACTTTGATTTCCCCATCATCAGCCAACCGATCTAATCGACTTGATCTGCTGTGAATATATCATCGTTTACGCAATTTCCCCTAAGATATTATCCACCCGCACCAAAAAAAAAAAAAAAACAATATATACCCATAGCAACAATGGCGAATGCCAAGATGCGATTTCCATGAGCCCTAAAAGACCAAGTTGCGTTTTCAGTTCGCTCCGCTTTTCGTCTTTCGGTTTGATTTTCCTATTGTTATGATGGAAGCTGCAATTGCAACTGCCGACTGGCAACCGGATATGGTCACAAAAATCTGAAATCTCATTCCCATTCCCATTCCCATCTGTGACTCTCTGCATATGATTTTCAGATTGTTTGTTTTCATTTCCCCCTCGGAACTTACAGTTGTGGTCGGTTCCTACTTTGATTTCCTCACTGCGGCTTCAATTTTCCTCAGTTTCCTTCCCTCGTCAATATTCTTGTTTCAGGTGCAACTGCAAGGTAAATAAATTAAATTATAAATAATGATATATTAAGTTGTGGGTAAACAATATTTAGTAATCGTAAAGAAATCTTGAAAAAAAAAACCGGAAATAACTCTATAGACGAGTGTCCGGTCTATTAGAAAATTGGTATTAACTTTTTTTAAACAAATTGGAATATACATATATGTATATTCCTCCAGCAGATGCATGGCAAAGTATATAGTCAAAAGAGTTATCTGTTGTGCAAAACATAAATGACTGTTTGCAGTAACGTCACTGATTATGTTTGACTTCAAGTCAATACATATTAATTAGAACATAAATATATATGTATAAATACCCAATTAAAATATATATTTAATTTTATAACGATTTTCTATAATACTTAGACGTCTTTAGAAAATTGCTAAAACTCTGTTAAAATCTAGTTCCACAATGTTGACCTCAAGGACAACATCAAGATTCTGGCCAAGTGTTCCTCGGATCTCGGAGATCTTTGGTCTGATTTGGATGCCCCGCTGACTTGGACACACTCAGTTGCGCTCCACTGCGGATCCGGCTGGCTGGTCCCACCGATCTCCGCCAGATATCGCCACTATAGCTGTAATGCGACTCTGTTTCAGCCTCTGACTGCCTTTTTTGGCTAATCAAAGCAAAGAGACTTGCCTTGGCTTTAGCTAATTACAATTATAACCCAGTGGGCTGACTCAGAGATTATGTTTTGCTATTATTTTAAGATTTTACGATGCTTATGCAATGCGAGGCGATTAATTGCGATAAGAACGTGCTCGACTGTAACGTAAACTGCTACTTGGGTTGGGTTCACGTTCGAGTTCGGGTTCAGAACACCGCCAAATGACGTGTTTGGAAACAGTTGGGGGAACAATATTATTAGTAGATTTTTTAAACAATATATTTCATTTCATTTTGTTTTGACAGATCTCAAAATAATTTATTAATTGCCGCAGTGGAAATACTAGATCCATCTTTAATTATTTTAAGCTTAAGTATTATTTAGTTTATTTTCTTGAGTTCACAACTTAACATGCATAACTGTTTTTGTTTGTGAATTCATTAAAACTTTTACAATACTTTTAAAAGTGTTGTAGGCTACTAAGCTATTATCTTGCCCCAAACTGTGTGCTTTTTTCTGAAGGGCGCACCCATATGACGCGTTCGTATTTCTTTGGCTCTGACTGAGAAAGTGACAAACCAATTCCGTTGACCATGTTTGGACTGGCGCTTCTTTTTCTGTTTTGGTTTCGACTTCTAGGTTTGTTTGCTGTCTGTATTTCTGTTTCTGTTTCTGTTTGGGTCTCTGATTCTGATTCTGTTTTCGTTTCGTTTTCCATTTCGAAGAGACGTGGTCGGCATGGCCAAGTGGTTTTTGGTCGGGTGGTGCTATTCTATTGGGGTCAGCGGTTGGTTGTGGGTGCGATTAGCTGACACCGATTCCCGGTGGTTGATAAGGTGGCCAAAGAGACTGGGCCAAGTCAAATTCAATCGAATTGATTGAGCTTAACTACGTACCCAACTATTTCTATTGACCTCAAAAGGAAAAACCAACAGGAATTAGCCCGATTTCATAGCTATCTTTGTCTTTAATAATTCATTCACTGAACTGGGTTGATAAACGCTAATTGTACCCCCAACTGAATAAACAATAACTGACCTTATTCACTGACCGATATGATTTCATTCATGCCAACTTATCATAGTTCTTTCATGTGTGGGTAATTTTATTTATTTATTTAGTGTTGGGAAATATTTACGAGTTCTTTAGCTATTTACTTACAAGTTCCGAAAGGGGTTAGTAGTTTTATTTGATTGTATACAGTTGGGAAATGTTTACGGAATTTTTTTAAGCTCATTCAATCATTCATTTTTTTGTGATTAACAGTTTTAGACCGCCCCATCGCTGATTTGCAAAATATATTTGCAAAATCCGACAAATGAAGACATTTAAAGAGCTCTTCATCTTTTACATTTGTGTAGCCAAGTCTCTGCCCTCACTCCTTTGAGTTTTTGTTGCACTTTTCCTATTTTTCAGTTTGTCATCTTGCGAATGATGATGGTCAAAACATCGCTGCCAGCGTTCGTTCAACTCGTTTTGGATTTGCAAATCTGGCTAAGCTGGCACGCCACATCCGAGCCACCGCATAGATATGTATATACACATGTGTATATGTATTTATATATATTTTGTTAACCATAATGATATGCCAATTCCGATGTTTCACATGCGTCTGGCCCAAGCTAACTATGTGCAAATGATCGGGCGCGCAAAAGCGAAGAAACTATTTGCCAAATTTATAATAACCATAATTAAGTGCTTAGAGCCAGGCAGGAAATTGCATAATTGTGGTTTGGCCACCACCACCATCACTCCCCCTTCTTCCCCAGCAAATCTTCCTCATTATGCAAATGCCTGTGTCTCGCCGCGTTCTATTCGCGTATAAATCACGTATACTATATATCACGTAAAAAGTGGCAACAAAAGACTTTGACTTTGACGTCAGCAGACCCAGCCCCCAAAACACCTCGCCCTTCTCTTCTCCACAAAACACACCATCTCTTACTGTGTTCTACGTTGAACCCTTTTCGGACGTGTTCTGATATCAAGAATATCGCTTAAATCTAGAAAAAATCACGTAACCCAACTTAAATACTGAAAATTTCATGCTTATATATTTTTCTTTAATTGTAAAAAGCACCATAATTAAACTGCATAAAACACAAGCAGATATGGTTGCAAAATATTTAATTTTATTTATTAAAGACAAAAGAATATCGCTTAAATCTATAAAAAACACGTAACTGAGCTACAATATTGTTTATATAGCTAAACTATATTAAATACATAAACAGAAGTGTTCTCTGTTACAAAATTGTTAAATCGTTTAAGTCAAAACAAATAAAATATATTCTCGAAATAATTATCATTTCACATTTTTCTAACACAACCCCGAACCGAAATTCATTCCCATTCTAGGCTTAAATATATTTTGCAGTGTAAAGTTCTCAAGGTGACTATTTGTGCGTTGGGAAAACTTTCATTTTGACTAATGTTAATGACTTTCGGGGGGCTGCAAGAGGTCTTGGCATTGAAATCTGGTTATTGATGATTGCACGCGAGCCTCACATGTGGAAAGATATATCCATCTACATATATGTATGTATATTAATAACGAAACCGAACCAAAGCGATCCGAAAACATTGCATCTCCATTTACCATTCAAATGGGCTTGGGGAAAACCTTTCCACTCGCTACTGTTTCAGACAATAGGTATATACATATATATACCCGATTCCCCGCGGTGAAGCCCACTTTTACTTTCGGCTAATTGCACTACTTGGCCAGCAGGCGGCGCCACTTTCCCAAAACGGCAGCAAAAAAAAAATAAAAACCGAACAACAATATAATATGGATCTTTTATAAAGCCATTTCCTTTTGTGTGAAAAATGTAACCAAGTTAAGGGCGAAAGAAAGGTTAACAAAAAGACTTTGGCAAATTGATTGGACGAGGTGACATAATGGCGATGGCTCGATGGCTCCTTGTAATTAATTACAATTAATTGTGCTTAATCAATTTGCCATCTCATGTCTATCATGAAGTCATAATGCGTTACATGATTTTAAATAAAGATAATTGGAGGAAGAGGAGAGACGATACAACATAGAGTCCGCTCATTAGAGGAAAGATACCTCAGTTCCTGTTTTTTCTACGTCTTTTACTCTCATAAACAGCCCCAGGTGTTTCCGATGCGGATATGAAGTGGGGAATGACTGCTACTAAAGGGTACAGGAAATATAATATAACTCGTTAGTATCTGCAGAAAATTGTATTAGTTTCCCATTAAAAATTAATCGACCTATTCTATATATTTAACACAAATTTTTACAAAAGGTTTGCGGCTTTACAACACAAACGATTTTGTTTGATCTATATACTTATGATTTTGTTATGGCATTTAATACAAAAAAACAAAACAAAAATTCCAATACATAGGTATACTCGATGTAAAGAAATTGCTAAGCAAATTTAATTAAATTTGATCAATATAGCAGTCAGCCCGAAGATGACACATTTTCAAGTATTTCCGTTTTTAAAGAACTTACGTATAAGCTTGTTTTGTATTCCAAGTCGTTTCAATAGTGACTCACTAAATAAATAAACAAAAACAAAAACCTTTTAAAAAGTAAGCAATAAAAAGGACAGTTGAAGGTGAAAATAATTCTGCAATCCACTTGTATTAAAATTACATCAGCAAGGCGACAAAGAAAACGACTTTTTTAATTATTCCTTAACAACAGGGTATCACACACACGCCTTTGTGACTTGCCATATTTCTCAAGGATTTAATTCTGTCTCTAAATAGAAGACACAAATCTACGAAGAGAAAATGAGAAATCCAGAGACATTTAGCAAAGAAAAATCGCTGGAGCAACAATTTATTTGTTCCGCTACATTTTAATAGGAGAAAATCTTGAGGTGTTGGATGACTCGAAACACTTTGCATAACATAAACCTAAAAGTAAACAAATTTAATTTCCCATATTGATTACATATATTTTTAATGCAATGCAAGTAAAATGTATATTTTCATTGGTAGTTAAGCTCTGCAATATTTTCTAAATTAAATATACATTTTACCAGATTGATTACGGACAACACACGTGCTACACATTTTTTCGAATTTTCTTTCATTTTTTTTTTTTTTGCTGAGCTTCAGGCCTTTTTGAGGGAAAATTTATGGCACAACATCAAAGAGATGCAAGAAAAACGAAATTAAAACTTCCCAGTGGGGTCTTAACGACTTGATTAAAGTCGGTGAAAATCCGAAATTGAAAATCTCTTATGCAACATTCATCGAAGGCAAAAGTTAAGGCTTCGACGAGACCTTTTCCGCATTTACTTGCAGAGCGGAAAAATCGCCTTTGTTGGACTAGAAATTAGTGGGAGGGTGAAATTGTCATAGAAATGCTAAATAAAAAGAGAGGGGACCTCTCGCTGCGCTAAACATCCGCTGCACAACGGGTCGTATGAGTAACGTCAATTGAATTGACAGTTTAACAACAAATTACACAACATCCAAGGGGGCTTTCCGGGGGCTATGGAATGTACGGGGGACAGACAATAGCTTAGAGGCCTCATTAAATGCTTAGAGTGGAAAACGTATGTGAGCTAATTATTTCTTGCTACACAGAGACACAAAATTTGTTTTTTGAATAACTAATAGTATTTGTATGGGTTTTTTAAAGCAGTCACACTCTTTAGATTTTTTTTTATTTTTATTTACTTTTTACCAAATGGAAATTAAATTTGAATTTCAATCATTGAGTTGAACTCTAAAATAATATAAGCTAAGATGAAAGAATTTTTCAACACCAATATATAAGTGTAGGATTCGTAAAACGGTTTTAAAATTTCATTTAATTATTGAATTGAACCCTATTTCGTACTGTGTACTATTTCTCCCACTTTTATTGTTGCATTTTTGCATGCGAACGGTACATTCGATTAGGTTTTGTAACCCAAAACGGTGCTTCACTGTACCGCCCCGGATTGCAAGGGTGGTGACATCACAGTTGAATAGTATGCACCATATACATAGTATAGGTATTATACCCACCCACTTGTTTCGCACTTAAATTGCCATCATCGACGGCTCGCGACTGTTTAATAAATTAAAGCGCGATTTGCATAAATTTGTAATCGAATCGAGGTGACAAAGCGTGTAATTTATGCAGCACAATCGATAACAGAAGACCGCTGGTGAAGACACCAAATCCCATTGTTGTCTCCGGCCACAAAAGGCAGGGAAAAAAAATAATAATAATAAAGCCCAATAAAAAAATGCAAAATATATGAATATAGCAACGACAATGAAATTGTTTAACTGCAACTGCAACGGCATTTGCATTTGCATTTGCATCTGCATCTGCATCTCAAGGCACTCGCGTTCCCATAATGATGTTTATAATTTTTTTGGCATCCGAAAGACAAGTCATCTGCGATCGCCATCGTCATCGTTGCACGAAAGCCAGACAAAAAATCGTCATTGACATTGTCTTCCCACAAAAAGGGTCGAAAGCAAATTGGTCAAAAGAGACAGGCCTTCCAAATATTCTATATATATATATGATATTCGCTATATTGCAACTGTTATTTTAACGTTCTGGTAATTAGTAAAAAAAAGATTCTTCGGATGATCTTTGTATCTATTCATGGGCTCATAAAGGTGCTGCCCTTTAATAATTATTAAATTAACTTACCACTCAGTTAATTAGTCATAATCAACCATTACACACAGAACAATTCAATTGTTGAAGCTACAAAAAAGAAAATTTGTTTGCCACGATATTAGTTGTATAGTACTTTTAATTGGGTCAAAAAAAATTGAAAAATAAAATCACAATTTAACATATATTTTTCTCTGTGCGTAAAATAACTAATTCTGTGAATTTAGTAAATAATTCTAAAACTTTAGGTAAAAGTATATTACTTTAACTATAATTTAAAAAATAAGTTCAACGCAATAGTTATGGATATCGCACATTTTTCTCATTGGTAAAAAAAATATCTTGTCAGTCAAAAAAAAAAATATTTTTACTTACTATACTTATTATCCACACCTATAAACCATACAAAAATAAGTAATCGAAATTTGCAGAAAGGCAGATTACAAAATGTTCAATACTATTTTAATTGTCTTAAAGATTTTAAAATGCCAAAATCCGATAATGGGAATTTATACAAATTGATTTTGGGCCATTTGGCACGTGCATTAGTATGCTGTTATTGCTGACACAATTTTCGAATTGGCTAAACATTTTCTCATGCTCCATCTCTATTCAGCCTATTGTGCGTTCAATAAACTAAACTATTGCTATTGTGTGGCTGCATTTGCAATCCGTTGAATATATAATACAAATAAGTTGTTTATATTATCACTCTTTTTTTGAGGCGAGATTGGTTTCGTTGCGTGGCAGTCATCCATTATGCGGTGGCATTTGGGTCAACGGGTGAACAGGCAACCTTGAATCGATCCTAGAGAACCGGGAAGGTCAAAAGGCCCACGATCTTCAAGAAGATGCCAAGTTCAAAGTCGATCCAACAAGGAAGTGTGAAGTAAACCGTACAAATATACCACTAAACAAACAGTATACAAACAAAAAAAACTCAAACTCAAACTCCAAGAGAGGTAAATATCGGGCGCAGCTGTTGATGTCTTGAAATTCGAAACTCAAAGTGAAGCTTCCATTCTCGCCGCCGGCAAAAATCACTTGCCTCATTGATCACTCAATGTTCAATCATCTTTCTGATCATTGTTTCTGGCCATTAATTTCAGTTAGCCCTCGTTCCCCCTCGTCTGGCATTGGCCTAAATTTAAATACGATTTTGGTGTTTAACTATCAAGTTACAAATCACCTTTGTGAGGGCCTAGAATCAAGGGGTGACACATCTGGTTAAAATGGGAAAACCCAAGTCAGATTCGATGATTTCCATTGCAGAAACTGAGACGGGACAATGTATTACACTGTCCGGGCTTGAATATTAAATTTATAATAGTTTATAAAAACCGATTACGGGCGCCGCTCATTAAACGCACATATGAGGAAGTTGCAGCCACTGGCACGCTTCCACCAACCATATAAGTGAATGGGGATTATTCCCCCCCATTATCCCCCTCCCATTTCTTTCACCCCTTTCTCTTCCGCTTTTCTCAAGCCCCCACAGTTACAAAGAAAACACTATTAAGAACGCTTTGTTTAAGCTTTTCAGCTAAGAGATACCCCCTAGTTTTAAATAAATTATGGCTTTATTACTTTTAAGCAGTAAAATTGCTTTCTTTACGGGAATCTGGAAATGATGGACTATGCCAACAAATTAAATTATTTTTTAAAACTTTGTGTTTACAGTAACTTCCATCCCAAATTTGATGTCGTTAACTGGAACAGATCCTGAGATCTAGGGGCTTGAACTCTTCGTCTAGTGGTCGTATAGTGTTCTCTGCTGGCCAACACACCTCTGCTCTCGCTGTTTACAGGTCATCAACACAGCCACAGTAGATGTGGCCGTAAGATCCGCAGCTGATTCAGAGTCTGTTGATTCTACTTACTTAACGTATGGCCTCTATGCCCGGCCAGTCATAAACTGGTTTAACGACTTAAAGTTCTACACACAAGCGGGGTGAAAGAGAGGTAGAGGGGGTGCGAGCGGTGGGGAAAGAGAGGGGCTTAGATATAGTCAGGTAGGCACTATAAAGTCCAGCGAAACAACAAAAATGTTAATCAGCCAATTGAGGCTGCACTTGGACTTGACAGGCCAACTGCACTTGATACCTAATAAATATGGCAACAATATTGTATGGAAGTTGGTTGACTCATTCAACTACGCGAATCTTCGCACCCTCTTCCGATAAGATAAAGCCACAACTGATAAAAAAAAATATATATATAAACACATAAATATATATAGACAAATAGAAAGAGGTAAACAAAAGACAAAGATGGGAGAAATGGGAGGGGGGTAGAGTGGCAGTATCAGAATCAGTGCATGGCAGCTGGCAAAGTGTAAATGATTTAATATACAGCCAGCAATTGCAATCCAGTTAAGAAAGGCATTAAAAAAACAGTAAGCTGCTCGCTAACTGTAAAGAAAATAAAAACAAAACGCCGAGCGAAGAGATAAAATCGCCATTACTATTTATATGGGGTCTTGCGATTATTGTTTCGAGACTTTTTCAATGGGGCTAACTCATTTTATTATAGACAACTTAACACCAAATGGGTAGCCGTAAATAGATAGCACGATTACAGGGTATATTAAATTGTCAATTAAATAAGAAATAATAAGGTAAACGTCTTATCACTTAACAATTTAACTTTAGTAACATTTACTTATGTTTTACACTTGGTTTTGAACCATTTCAGTACTACAGTACTAGCAATCAAAAAATGTCGCTATTACTCATACTGGGAATTTCATTAGAAGGGAAAAAAAACATTGAGATAATTTGGGCGATGAATGAACAACATTTGGAGATGTCTTCTGGATTTCCTCCATAATTTGTTATCAACATATTTAAGATAAAAAATTTGATCAATGATTGAAATACATACTTTAATATTAATAACTTCCGAAAATATAAGAACTACAATTAATGAAAAATGCTGAAATGGCAAAGAACGAATTTATTCAAAGACAGACTTACAAAAATTAAGCTTCTTATTACAAACGATTTGAAATGTAAAGGTATTTTATAAGTCCTTATAAGTATTTATTTAAAAACATCAATTAAAATAAACAAATTAATAAATAAGTAAATATAGAACTAGTTTAGCTTGGTTTATTTGAATTGAGAAATTTGTGTAAGTCAAATGGCTAAACTGTTAAAAAAAAACTAATAAAAACAAATAAGTTTAAGACTCGAAAATGAAAAAAAAAAAACCAAAATCAATTAGGTACTTATATTTAAAAACGCCAATTAACTTGGCCATTTGAAACGGTAAATGATTGTAAAGCGAATGGTGAATGCAGGTGCAATTTACAGAGGGGGTAATCGACTTATTATCGCTAGCCGTGCTTCACTGTATTTTTCGTTTGTTTTGGGCTTCTAATTGGCAATTGGCAACTCGGGCTTTTTGGCCATGCTCGACTAACTAAGTGAGCCTCGTTTAACGGTCTTTTATTTATTTATTGCAGCTGCTCACTGAGAGAAACAAACAATTGCAAAAGTGCGCACATACACACACACACACAGACACACACACATACATACACTTGCATGGATAGACAAGGAGCTGCACATTTTGTTGTTTTGACTTTTGTTTTGTTCTATTGATTTTTAGCCAAGAAAAAGGGACAGGTTCAAAGCACACACACACACCCACACGCAGGAAAACACACCCTTGCTGTGCATGTGTATCCCTTAACTACCAACAAAAAAAAACCAAAATAACTCTTGCAAAACATCAGCTAATTAATTAAACAAGTTATTATTTTTGTATCCAACTCACTTCTGGGATTAGATTAGTATTCTTTTTTTTTTTTTTTTTGTTAACTTAAGCGCGCGCGCCGCACGTTGTTACCAACAATAACAACAACAACACTGGAACAACAACAACAAAGTTAGCCGCACGCCAAACACACACAACAAATACACGCAAAAAAAAAGAAGATCGCGCGTGAAAAGAAATCCGCTTTTCTGCTTGAAATCTTAAAATTGACGAACGTTATGTTTGCAACCGTCGGCGGGCCGTTCAAGTGTGACCAAAAAATGCCACAGCAATTTGGACGACTTTTAAATATACCAAAAAACTACCATACAGAAAATCCAGAAGAAAAGCTTGCAGACCAGAGTTGCCAGGTGTTGAGTTTTCGCATGAAAAATTAGTTCTGACATTAAAACTCTACCTAATTCATAGAATGCTGTTCGTCGTGCTTAGGTGTAACGAATTTCAGATTTTGGATTTAAAGTTTTTTTTAGCCACACATCGCGGCATTTTTTCTTATACACCTTCGGCATTTTGGAAAAAGCTGAAAAAACCCGCAATCTACACATTTTTTCCTGCAGCTAACCGTAAAAAAACGGATTTCACCCAAAAAAGCGGAATCAATTATCAATTATTGTATTTTTCGACTTCGAACTCAACAGTGTTTTAATTTTAATTTTAATTGCACCGAGCAATTGACCGTTTTTTATCATCGCCCGTAATAATTTATTTAAATGCATTTTATTATTATTTTCTTTTTATTTATTAGTATTACTAGTCTTTAAAATGAATAATATTCAATTCCATTCTAAGAATTTAAAAACTATTTTTACTTTTACAGATCTTGCAGATGTTAAGAATTTTAACAGAGGGAGTGCAAGAAATGGAGTAAGAAGTTAACAGTGGCAAGAAAATATCGTTAGAGACGTTTGAAAACATCGATGAAGTCGATGTTGGCATCAATGTTTCTCACCGCAAGCGGTGAATTGCGTGCTTGTGGAGGGTTTGTGTTGTGCAGTAAAATGTTAACAGCACGTTGAACTAACAGCGAAATGTTAGCGAAATGTCGAACTAACAGAAAGAGAGAGAGAGAGAGTTGAACGGATAAACATCGATAATCCATGTTAAACATCGATAAGACCAATATTTTGAAAACATCGATAACGTCGATGTTGCCATCAGTGTTTCTCCCCCTCTACTCCTCCCGCACTTAAGAACTATATTTGACACAGACACATTATTTTACATTCCGTTGCGATTTTTCTTAAGAATAAAGTAAGGTAAGCCGAAAAAACAATGTTCCTGCGCCGAATCGTGAAGTAAGGCGTCGCAAATTAAAGCCTCTTTTGTTGATGTGCGTGGTTTTTTTTGCGTCTCTATGTTTGCGTGTGGAGTGCAGCATTTTCCTTGAAAACCGTAAATAATAATAACGGAGACCAGCTGCCATTTATGTATTTCTTAGTCTCCTTCGTCAATTGCTATGGTATTTAAGAAAACAGTAATTTCAAGAAAAAGCCGCCATGTCTGCAATTATGTACTTCGTGAGTCTCCACCCGCACGCAAACATAGGGACGCGGCATATACATATGTAGACTCCAATACGGAGTTTCTATAACTGTTATTAACCCTTATAAACATTTCAGGCGCCAGTTGCAACGATGTTTTTCGGCGTTTATATCCCAAACTTGAAGGAGGGAACCGGAACGCAATTCCCCGGCTCCGTAGCGACAGAGCGCCCAAAGGCTCCAAATGGAGAGGATCATCACAGACGTAAGTTAAAGCGAGAGGGAGCGACGCGAGATTGTGTAGCGTTCCAGTTATTTGCCGCTTGTTGCTTTTGTGCTACTCTGGAATCGAAGGGCATGTGCGGTTCGTAGCTCGGTTCGTAGCGAGGGTATAAAGTGTACAAGTAACTCTCCAGTCTGTAGGATAGGAAGTTAGAAATGTTTTCTAAATAAAAATAAACTTTTTTCGATAATTTTCCAATGATTATAGCTTGAAATATTTTAAGATCTTTTATGGAAATACCATTTTTAAAATTGTATTTTTGCGTGCCCACAGGAGTTCTTATAAGGGCAATGGTTTCTTCGTAGGGGTTGAATTTTCGCAACCCTAGCAGCAAGCGTATTCATGATTTGAATGGTTTGTTACAATGAGGTCTGTTTCTTTATATTTAACAAGAATAAGAATTGTTTCAACGGTCCGAATAAATTAATATTTTCTCCATTTTTTATTAAAACACTAGATATGCAATAAATTTTAAATTGTTCTTTAGGGTATTCACAAAATTTGTCGTTTGTTTTCTATGCCATGACTAACTGACCATGAAGAAGTTTCCCTGTGTGTTCTGAGAATTACAAAAATAATAAAAAAGAGGCTTGCGCATTTGTCCCGCTCGCACAGTCGATTTCCTTGTCTGGGAGCGGTCTTTCGATTTAATTATAAACAACTGGTGAACAATTGCCATTACCTGCTTAATTAGATGCAACTTTCCGCTCTCGCTCGCTCACTGTCATCTCATTCCTTTCTCTCTTTAATCCAATTAAATGCGATTCGAAAACAATAACCGATTGGGGCGAGTTCATTCCACTTCCACATCCAAAACGAGACCATATCCACTTCAGGCAATCGCCAAAATGAGTGCATTACTAGGACCTTGACCTGTCAGCACTTTCCGTCTTACTTGCTCCCCTCTCCATCTTTCCTCCAGCGATCACGTCACTTAGCTGGGTTCATAGAAAATTTTCAATTTGTATCAAAATATCGCTATTGAAAGAACTTTAAATATTCAATCAGTTCATAAAACACATTTACAGTTAAAGGTTTTAAAATCAATTAATATATTTTAGAAATCTGAAATTGTTTGGTTTGATTTTTTTAAATCTGTATAAAAACATAACTTTTAATAAGTTACATATTTTGTATCTTTAAGTTTGACAATTATGGTTTCCAAATTAAAAACAAGTTTATTTTTAAAATATATAAAATTAAGTTATTAAAGCACTCTAAATATTTCAAATAAATAATAATTTCTTTTTAAATTATCATTGGAATTTTTAAATTTTATTTATAAGGCCGAAAGCATGTATTTTTAAACTGTTATTGCGGTTGCGATTGTTTATCAGTCAGTATTCCCCAATTTTTTGTAATTTTTTTAAAGTGTTATTTATACTACGAGCTGCAGAGCAAGTACCCCAAAAATTGTGTGTGCGTGTGCTTTTAGTGTCCTCAGATTCAAAATGTATGTATATACCCCAGACCCCCAGCTTTGCCGGCTTGTGTTATTGTGGGATGTGCCTGTCCCTGTTTTTTGTCCCAGTCCCTTTTACCTTTCCCCTGTCCCCGTCACTTGGCTGAAGTCAACAGTCGTTGCCCAGAAAAAGAAAAAAAGAAAAATCAAGTCGACTCATAGAATACCTTAAAATTAGAATATAGAACAAATTTTTAAAGTAATTGATAAATTAAAAATTGTCTTTGAATAATGGTTTGGGATAATTTAGAACTCGTAAATTATATAAATATTTATTTTATAGGTAGGTTACAAGTATGGAACTTCAGGTTGTACCTAATTAATTTAAAATGTACTTTACATTAAAGTAACAAAGAGTACACAGAAGAACGCGTTTAACTGTGGGAGTACCTCATTAAATTACCTCATAAATATAGGAAGGCTAAACATCACTAATTGGTGTCAAATTAATCTATTCGAAAATGTTTTATGCCTTTCCATTTGAACTTTCATACAAACAATCTTTCGCCCCCCCACACTTATAGAAAAGTTCTACATGCTAAATGTTTTTCACTTTTATCAGATCTTTGATTAGAACTATAGCCCCAAGGCTGCGGTGTTCCTCACTCCAGTTTTATGTCTGATTTTGTTTAGCTCACACATTGCGAATAGTTAGTTGAAAGTAAATTAAATTATGGCATACCCGCTTGTTTCAAAAGGTAATGGGAAAGAGAGTTGGAAGTTGGAAAAAATAAATGAAATGTTTGTATATTTGTTGTTCATACACTCCACTAGTGAACTTTAAACGGGTTATTAAGCTGCAAGTGGTCAGAGGTTTCAAGAGAGTGTATATCCAAAAATTCGATTTAAAAAGCTATAGTGAATACAAAAAATGTAAAAAATATGAATAAATAATTAAAAGAACTAAAATTTTAAAATAAAAAGCTCTCTCTAAGATCAAAAACAATTTCCTTCAACAGAAATCAATCAGATCTCTCAGAAGAAAAGCGTTTCACAAACATTTTGTATGAAATTTCACTGCAAAGTGTACTTCAAATTATTTTGACCATTGTATGTATATAAAAAAATTATTTTTTTTATGTTTAGGAGCTGTGCGACAAACTATTATTGCAAGTTAAAGAGTTTTTTAAGAAGTATACGTTTTTTAAAGGAAGTTTCCATTCGTTGCCAAAAGTCGTATGTAAGTAGTAGTAGCAAATAAATGTAAATATTTGAAATCTGTGACAATCTGAGACCAAATCTGATGATACTCCCCCGATAAGGGAGGGCCTCGGAAAATTTTGGCGGCGTTGTGCCAACAGCTGCGTCACACGCATGTTCGCCACCCAACGCCCCCTCGTATTTGTTTTGGTTTTGTTTTGCTCAACACAATTCTCGACTCGTGCTGCTTTCGCCACTCGTTCGCTATTCGCCAGGCCGATGGCGTGACCAAAAAACCAACCAGCCAGCACCTTATTTATTAATGGTTTGTCTTCCTCTCGTTGTCCACACATCAACAACATCAACAACATCAACATTGACAACATCAACAACATCAACATTGACAACATCAACGCGAAGCAGCGGACTCGCCGTTGTGGCTGATATTCACAGAAAAAACCAAGGCGCTGGACGTCCTGAAACACTACAAGGAGGCGCGCTTCCGCGAGTTCCCCACATTGGAGCAGGCGGAGAGCTACGTCCAGTTTGGGTTCGAGAGCATCGAGGCGCTCAACAGATTCGGCAAGGCCAAAACAGAAAGCAGTACGTATAATATAAACTATTATAATAATTAACTAACTATTGTATATATTTATATATAAATATATGTGTTAATTTTTCAGAGCCCATTCCGATAGGCGGTGGTGGTTACAAGAGCTCATCGGGCTCCACGGACAGTTTGTACTCCTCCTCGCCGACGGGCAGTGGGGGTTTAATGCTAGGCAGCTCACCCACTTCATCGCCTACCAGCAGTATCAGCAGCAGCATTATCATTGCCAATGGACGCCAGCAGCAGCAGCAGCAGCAGCAGCAGGACTTGTCCGGAGAACGTCCACCATTCCGGGCGCCCACCAAACAGGAACTGCAGGAGTTCCGCAAACAGATCGAAGGTGGACACATCGAACGCGTCAAGCGGATTGTGTGGGAAAACCCACGATTTTTGATCAGCAGCGGTGATACGCCGACCAGTTTGAAGGAGGGCTGTCGCTACAACGCCATGCACATCTGCGCCCAGGTGAACAAGCCCAGGATCGCTCAGCTGCTGCTGAAGACCATTACGGATCCGGAGTTCGCGCAGCTGTATGCTGGCAAGAAGGGCAGCCGCCACATGTGCGCCGCCCTCAACCGGAGTCTGTTGGACTATTATCTAAATATGCCGGACAAGGCGCGTGGCGAGACGCCGCTCCACTTTGCCGCAAAGAACGGTCATGCGGACATGGTCGAGGTGCTCATTTCCTATCCGGAGTGCAAGTCGCTCCCGAACTTGGAGGGCAAGGAGCCCAAGGAGGTGAGTAACAAGGAAATGGCGAAATGCCTCCAAATAACCAAATGGCTTTGGATTATCTTCCCCTTCAGATTATCTGTCTGCGTAATGCGCAGGCCACCAATGGGTGCATCCTAAAGATAACCATGCTCCTGGACGATCCGTACTTTGTGCCTGTGTTGAGATGCATGTCCAATACAATTCCGCCGCAAGTGGGTAAACCATTCTCGCCCAGCGATCCCCCGGTGAGTGTCCATTTTAAATATTTCCGCCGCATATTTTTGGCACATTTTGGCTAATTTAATTTAAAAATAATAGTTTCACGATGAATGTTTTGGGATATCTTCAATAGTATGAGCTTCATTTCAGTGGGACGCATACAATGAAACACACATTTAAATACTTTGCCTATTTTTTCTATCGATTAAGATACCAATTACCATTGTCAAGTCAAAATTTGTAATTTATAAACTATTTTTTTTAAACTTCTAAAATTAACGGGTTGTAAGCTTCTCAAATATTTGTCATAAACTGTCACAATTATATAAAATTTGAGTTTATATTGAAAACCAGTAGGCCAGTGGTTTAGTGGCAAATACTCCTAAATAAACTCTTCTATACTAAGTTCCTATATAAGTATTATACGACTGGGTTTTTTCTTTCAAAGTCTACAGCTTAGAATCCACTGGAGTTTCTTAGGGTAACTTAGTTATTTATTGGTTGTCTTTAAAGGTGGTAGAGATGATAACAACGATCTAATGTTCGCCTCCGAATTTTCCAGAACCTGCAGTCCAAGACAAGTCAAGGCGTGGGCCTCAGCGAGGAACTGACAATCAGCGCACTGGCTGGACCCATGCCCCGCGAAAGTGCCAACAACTTCCATCGGCGCTGGAAGACACCGCCGCGAGTCAGCAGCAGCAGCAGCAGCGGCTGCTCGCCCTTCAGCACACCAAATAAGATTAATCCCAACCTTAACCACAGCACTGAGCACGGACGCAAGCTGATGTTTAGCCCGCTGGCGGCGGCCACAAGCTCGCCGTGTGAGAAAAACAACAACAACAACAACACTGTCAAACCGCCGGCGAATTTCTTCGAACTGCCGGCCACACCCATACGGAATTCGAAAGGGGATGTGTTTACGGCATATCGCGACCCCATCAACGGCCACGACTCGTCAATGGCCGATATCTCCGGCCTCCTGGACACGAGTTTCGGATTGGGTAGCGTAAACTTGAATGACAGCTTCCGGGAGCGGAGCATTAAGAACTCGGATATCGAGAAGGGATTGGAAATGGTGGGCCGTGAGCTGGCGCGTAAGGAGCGTTGGGAGTGGCGGGAGTACTGGGACTTCCTGGACACGTTCGTAGACCTAAGCTCCTCCGATGGCCTGGCCCGCCTGGACGCCTATCTGCGAGACAGGGCCGAACGGCAGGCGGAAACAGCATGCAGCTCTGCTGCCACGTTTGATTTTGACTTGCTGGCGATTGACGACCAGCAGCAGCCGCTGCTACGCAAGGAACGGGACGAGGCCCCATTCATGACGCCATACACCTGCGTTGAGAAGTCTCTGCAGGTGTTTGCCAAACGCATCGCCAAGGTCCTGATCAATAAAATCGGCGACACAAAAGAAACTCTACTTGGCGAGCTGAAACGTCTCAAATCTCTAATCGCCAGCTTCAAGGTGGGTACTCAAATATATACATATACCTTGTTTTATTTTTGGAAAAAGACATGTCATAATATATATTTTTAAAATGCCTGCAGGCTGATGCCCGCTTCCTTAGCGTGGATTTTAGCAAGGTGCATTCACGCATCGCCAACCTGGTGGCCCTGAACGTGGTGAACGTGGCCATGAAGCTGCAGATCCTCCAGATGCTCCGCACCATGCGCGAACTGCTGGCCAATGAGCGCGGCAGGGAGCTGCATTTGGGCTGCTTGTGCGGCAGCCTACTGCAAAGTTTGGAGCAGGCCACGCCCACTGCAGCACCTCCGCCGGACTCACTGAAAACGGAGGAGCTATGCTCGGCCGCCTGGCAGACGGAGCAGTGCTGCCACTGCCTCTGGGACGCAAGTCTCAGCCGCCAGACGAGCCGACGCAAGCGCACCAAGTCGCTGCGGTCAGTGCCGTCGCAGCCTCAGTTGTCGGTATCATCATCATCGTCCACGTCCACGTCCACGGGAGGCGGATCAACCGGCGCAATGCACGTCTCGCTGAGCCTTGGTGCGCCGAGGGGCTGGCGCCGGCAGCAGAGCGACGACGAGGACAACGACAGCGACGATGACGGTTGCTTCGTGAGTTGTTTTCATGCACCGTACATAGTGTGCAATTACATTGTTTTCGTTTCTAGTTTGAGTGCAATGCACAAACGCCGCCACCGTTTGATAGCAGCGAGGACGAGAATTTCTATACGCCGCCGGGAAGCGTGTGCTCGGATCTGGAGCCGCGCTACAAGCTCTACATATTTGGGTGCGATTGTGCAATGATTCTCCCCCGATCGATACATCTATTTAACACATTGTTTATATCTATTTAGCGACGAGCCCACTAAGAGGGACCTCAATGTCCTGAATGCCATAGGCAGCGTGGACGTCGACAAGGAGACGTATCCGTTTGTCCATGCCTGGAAATCAGCCATGGAAAGCTTCTCCACCTTTGAAATGAATCTGTGAGTATTCATGTAAAGCAGTAGCACAAGCACAAATAATGTGACTTAAGTGCGCTGCTGACTATGTTTACATTTGCAAATTTTTTTAATTTTATTAATGCGGTTGGTTAAGTGCTTTTCTTTTACTTTCGTTATTTTTCTTCTGGCACCTTTGAAAAGAAAACTATCTAATAATGAGTCCTTAATTGAATTTTGATCCGAAAAAAATTGATATGAACCGAAGATACAAGCACTGCAAAACTTACTTAAAACTTTAAACTTTATATAATTTAAAAACTGCTAAGATGATATTTCTAAAATTTGGCAGATTTATTCTATATCTTAAAATGTTGTCATAAATAATTTTTTTTTTTTGTATGATTAAAAATAACTTTTTATTTTAAGTGAAAAATTGAAACACAAATTTTATTTTGCCACTTTATCAAAAATGCATGTTTTTCGAATTCCTTTGATTTATTTACTGATCAGAAATTACAATATTATAATTAATAAGTAAACTTTTAGATATTTTTAGTAATTTTTGTTCAACTTGAACTGGGTGGGGTAACCCCTTAAAGAGAATATATAGAAAGGGTCCATGTTACAAATGCTATGTCGTCTGTTGCTCCAAATTTGACTTAGTGTTAATTACTTGGAATCAATACAGTAAGGCTAATATGTTTTCGCCCCATTTCGTTGACAGCTTCCCATCGCCGAAGATGGGGCACAACTTGGAGACTTCGTTGAACAGTAGCGGGCAGCCATGCCTATTTTCCAAGAAGCTCATTGCCACGCCCAAGCTGAGTGCCGTGTGCGCCGTTGAAAGACGCAGCTCCGGGCCATCGACGTCGCCACTGGCGCCGCGCCTGCCGCGCACTCCGAGTGCCGCCCCTACGACTTCGTCACCGCTTTTGGCGTTTGCGGCAATGGCGGCGATGCCGTTCAAAACGCCGCGGAACAAGGTGCGCGGATTGTTTAGCCAATATCGCGAAAGCCGTTGCTACAACGAACTTGACTCGCCGATCGGCAACGGAAACGGTAGCGGCCCCGAATTCGAAAACAGCCAGTGAAAAGGGGGGGCCACTAGTATGGAGTACTTACTCATACTACTTACCTTACATTATGTTAACATTTTTTTTTATACAATGGAATGGAGTCGGAATGAAAACATGAAATAAAGCACAGAAGATTATTACAAGTTTTTTTTGTTGCTACACAAAAATAATAATAATTTAACAAATCACTAAACCAGATGCAAGCATTTAAAATTGATATAGAAAACAATAAAAAGCAACGATATTTCAATTAAATATTAATATTTATAATATATACGGGCTGTGTAGGACTTTAGTTTTTTTTTTTTTTTTTTTTTTTGCTATTTAAGAAATGTAAAATGCCTTTCACAATTCACAATGATATGAAAAACTAAAGTTTAATCTGCGAATTTGGATTTAATACTGGGATGTTTTTTCAACCATTTCAAGGTTGACGCTACTATTTGGCTATTAAGCTCTTTAAGAACTATAAAATAATTTGTTTTGCTGCTTTTATTACTTGATAAATCTTAAGTGCATATAGATATTTTCAGATGACTTTTATTTTATATTACCAATGTGAACTCTTGTCTTCAATAAGTCTTAAATAAGTTGCTCCGCAGCAAATCGAATCAAGTGCTTTTCCGAATAATTTCCGAATTTTTTTGTGAAGGGGCTGCTATCTGTAACTGCTGCGACTGCGACTAAAAGGGAAATAAGCGCAACAAATTGTGGCCGACCAGGATCGTAGAAAGCCATAAAGACAATTACCATTAATCACACAAAAGGACGGACAGTGGAGTGCCAGTCGAGACCCGGACGCGGGGTAAGATCGAGGCTGAAAGGAACATTCTTTGCCACCGATCGATCTTGGTGATGCTGTCTGCTGCCTGCTGGCTGCTCTGCTCTGCTCTGCTCTGCTCTGCGCGATCTGCTCCGATGCAATGCAAAACGAGAAACTGAAACCGCTCGGCACAAAAAGCAACAAAATCAAGTAAAAGAAGGGAAAGCAAAAAAATGTTTATCGAGTGCAGTATACCCATAGATTGTGCCCTTGCTCAGGGGATCCCCATTCCCATCCCCATCCCCTCGACGATACCGACCAGGTCTCGTTTACTCTCAATTTCTTATTTATGAGAGTGCTCCCGACGATGGCAGCGCGGATTCTTGTCGTCCAAAGATCTTGGATTACAATGGGTATTCTTGGGGAGCGGTGGCAGCAGGTGCAAGATGGTTGTCCTCTATAAGCACTTAGGACTGACCATTTTATCCCCTTTAAATATTTATGTACACAACAATGAAATCAAATTAAGTTTTTTTTTTAACATGTATCCGGTTTCCTCATTCAGTTACTCTTATTATGTAATTGTCTTTCACTTGAAAAGCCCTTTGGTATTTTATTTGTCAATTAAAATTGAAATGTTAATGCTCTGCCAAAACTATTTACTTAATAAATTATGTATTATCTTTTAATAAAATGTAAGACAAACGTTTACTAATGTTACAATAAAAACAAAATATATTTATGAAATAAGTTCGGATACACAAATCACGAACGAAGCATTCATTTCATTTTAGGTCCCTAAATAAGAAAAGTAAAAAGTGGTATCATGTCAAAGATAAAGTATTAATCTACTAAAAAAAATTATGCAGTGGCTTAAGATATGAACTAACATTTTGAAACATGTATTCTAAGTAATTTAAAATCACTGCGAATTAAATACTTTTTAATTAAGTTAAATATGTATATAGGTTTCTAAAACTGTTGAGAGGAAATGAGTACTGAAAATAATTAATAAGAAAGCAACAACAGAAAAATAAAAGTAAAAATGAGTACTGTAAACCATTAATAAGTAAATAATAAAAATCTAATCTAATGAAAAAAATAAAATTTTCTACAGAACTCGCCAACTAGGGATTTATTTATTTTACCTTTTTTTAACGAGTAAAATTTTTTTTTTAATCAACTATAATTGTAACAGGGTACCTTTGGGTCGCATCTCTCCGTCGAAGTTTTACTTCTTTGGTGTCTTTTACTTTCTGCTCCTCTTCTTTTGTCAACTGGAGCAGAAGGAGGGGAGGCAGAGGGGAGGGGTGGGTGCCGGGGGTCCGCAGGAGTAGCGAACAAATTTGTTGCAATTGCCGTTTCGCTCAGTGGTCGGGCCACTTTTCAATGGCAGCGCTTTGACAAATGATCACTGATAAGAAACCGCACCGGGGAAGAATATAAAAAGCGAAACAAATTGAGAGGCTACACAAAGAAAAAAACATATGTTAAATCAGCCACTTAATTGCTTAAATTGTCCCTGCCTATATAAAATTGGTTATTGTCATGAAAATTGTAGGTCACCAAAGTAATTAAAAAAAATTGTTCTTTAACTATTTCAATTGCGAATTTTTGTTTTGCACAATTGATCTTTTTTATTTGTTTATTTTTTTCTTTATTATTTTTTTCGTAAATTATTTATATTACATTGTTACATTTTGTAATTAGTTTCACTTACTTACATTAAATAATTAAAAAAACAAAATAAAGAAACAGACAGAAACAGAAAGTAACAAAATACATGATTTTTCAACGGACCAAAAAAAATAAAAGAAAAGAAAAAAATAGTGCTTCTAATATTTGAATTGTTGTTATATATTTCAATAGCCCAAAAAAAAAAAAAATACATTACATATTCGAAAATAGCTGAATTACAATTTTTCTTTATTGATGTGATTTGTTTTTTCTATGTGTAAGGGGGCTATGGATTTGGCAGAGCGGGATTTACGGGAAATTTAAAGGGGGGATTTGGCCCATAAGTGGGTCGCGATGTCAGCCTATTATCCTATAGATATCTCCCCCTTTCGCATTTTATTATTCCCAATGCAGGTGCAGCCAGCGATCCTTGGGGCTTATATAATTTATGCTAGGATCCGTTAGGATTTCCTTTAGCCCAAGATGACATGAATTTTTAAGTGGCTTGGTATATATATGTAGATATTAAAAGCAACAGCTTTTATTGTATAAATATAAATTATAATAAAAAATAATCTAAAACAAAATAAATATAAACAAAAAAACATTAAATTAATGTATGCAAATATAGCAATAAGGTGAAGGAAAAGGCGGGTAGAGGAGACTTCATTCGACTGGCGCCAGTGGACCCGATTATCTGACCACCGTCATCAGGGTCAACTCATTCCAGCAGTTCTTTTGTTCGCCCCAGCCACAAAAAAAACGCAAAGTCCCGAAAACCAAAAACCAAAAACTGAAAACTGAAAGCCCAAAAAAAAACCGAAAAATCCCATTTGTGGACTCTTTTTGTGAAACTTGAGAACACTTAGCGATAAAGGGCAAAGAGAGGGCAAAAGAGCCAACAAAGAGAGTCTGGGTCGTGTCAGAAGTTCACACAAAACTTGTGAAGTTCCTCCGATCCTTGAGTGGAGTGGCTATCCCTATATGGGGATATGCGATTTTTGTAGGAATGCAAGGCGGCGCCGGAAGCTGTTCAGACAGCCTCGACCAATTAACCAGCCATTTATCCAGCCAACCAGCCAGCCAGCCAGTCATCAATCCCACAATCCGTCCAAGGCAGCTGCATTCGGTAGCTGGACTAGCCCACAAATGCGCAGGACTTTTTCCCATAGAACCCATACCCCCAATCTAGTCGTTGGCATTTCGTAAAGTTGGAAATTTAATTTTATATGCCAATAACATTCACATTTAAGGGATATCTATGAAATATAAAATGTAAGGTAATTAAATTGTTTATTTGTATACATATACATGAGATTTTGTGCTTAAACTAAACTGATAAAGTTTTAAAATCACTTTAAAAAGTGTCTAAAAGTATGCAACACATAAGAAATGTTAAATTTTGTAATAAGTGTAAATCTAAAGTCAAATATATTGTTGCATAGTTTTAGGCATAATTTTACGTGGTTTGAAAACACTATTCGTTTCTTAGGCTAGCTAAATTCCAATAACCTAGGGTATAAAGATCTAGATAGGCCACGTTCACGCTAACTGCCCCAATTCTAGGCACAATCAGAGTCATGCAAACGGCATTATATAAACAATGAAAGGCTTTTAGGCCACGCACGCAGTCACTAATGACCCACGCATCGATTTGCATATGGACTATTCATACATGGTATATGGCACGATTGACCAAATTTCAGTCTAAATATTGGCTTCGAATCGGATGCTAACGTTCTGATTGGAAATAATACTCCGAGCCGTGGCGGCAAGCGATGTTCCTGAAACGGAAATGCCGCAATCGAAACGCCATCCGGAGACGAGGAGGCAGATGCAGTGGCAGAGCCAGAGGCAGCGTGGCCTCCAGACCCTGGTCATCTTCCGGCGCAGCCTCATCTACCAGACGAAGGAGTTCTTCCAGAACTCGACGCTCCACGGAGTGCGCTATATCGCGGAAACGGGCCGTCCCATCGGCGAGAAGTTCATGTGGTTCTGTTTCACATCGATCGGAGCGGTCACTGCGCTGGTCATCATCATGAGCCTCTGGGAGAAGTTCCAGACCAATCCGACCATCACGGGCCTGGACACGGACTTTCACAACCAGAACGTGGTCTTCCCCACCACCGTCGTCTGTCCGGAGGAGGCCTTCGACGACGACAAGTCCTATCAGGCGGTTCTCAAGACACTGGCGTGAGTACTCCAAACATTTTTAATTTTTCACAAAACTAAAGAAAAATTTATAGAAAAAAGTTTGGTCATTAAAATAGACTAAAAAGTACAGTTGTGCGAAAAGTACTTGCATATTTTTTAGTTCAGTAAGTACCAACCAAGCTCTAATTACAAGTATGGTCTGTAGGATTTTTATTCAGTTCTTTTGTCTAAAAATAATATTACCCAAAACTATAATTATTTAATTAATTTTTTATCAAGTCAAGCGGCCATCGATTGTTTTGGGTATCAGCTCCACAGAAAAAGTAATGACTAAGACAATGCATTTGCATTGCAATATAGAAATAAATAACTCATTAAAGCTAGTAAAATTTATGATAAACAAGAATACATTACATAAGATCCAGCCCATTAAATCTTTTTATATCTTTAACATATCAATTAATATATTTAAACCGATTAGCAACTACGACGAGGCGCAGGCTCAAATGTACAGTCCGTTCCTGCGGCTGCTGACCTCCTTGAACTTCGAGAACATCCGCGACGCCAAGGTCCTGTCGCAGTCGATTCCGCCGAACCTGCTGGAGGCGAACACCATCCGGCAGTGGGCCTTCGAGGGTCCCATCAGCTGCGAGAGCACCTTCGTGTCCTGCAAGTATCGCGACGAGGAGATACCCTGCTGCGACCACTTCGAGCCCATCTACACGGAGCACGGATTCTGCTATGCCTTCAACAGCCGGTTCAAGTCCACGCCCACCGAAGAGTGAGTTTCCCCATACGGAATTTATATAGCCTGGTTTTTATTTGTTATTATTGACATATTTGTACAGCGTCAAGACCGGAGCACCTCATGATCTGTACGAAACCGACAAGAAGTGGGCGCTTTTCTTTGTCCCTAACAGCACTTCGAGGGTATGTCTATTATAATTATTATTACATTATTAATTGGTTTAATAATTTTTGGTTTAATTTATACTTTCGGTTAAGTGGGGGATATCATTAAGCCCCGAATCGAAACGAAATGTTCTTAGAAAGTCGACATTGATTTATACGTTAACGCGAATTCTTAAGCTATTCGTTGAGCAGTAGCATTACAATGTTCTGGCATTAAATTGAACCAGTTTTTAAAGCTTAATAAATTAAAAGTGCACTTTATGACAGATCTTCATCTTCTCCAACGAGGAATACTTTGGATCGGACTTCAATGCGCAGATCGATTGGTCGGAGACTCAGCTGGTGGAGGTGAGAATCTCCAAAAAGAATACCTACACTACGGACGATGCCCGCCAGCTATCGATTGGCCAGAGAAAGTGCATCTTTAGCGACGAGGTGAAGCTCAAATATTTTCCCGATGCGTACACTTTCTCGTCCTGCATGAAGCAGTGCCGCATGAACAAGGCCATCAAGCTCTGCAAATGTAATCCGCCCTTTTACAAGCCCATAGGTGCGGTTCCATCAAGTGGAAATCATTAAAAGTGTTTACAAGTATGCAGGGAAAACCAGTTCGAAATGATTGTAATGGACTTTCGAAATTAAAATATTCTGTTGCATACTTTTAAACGCCTTTGAAAGAGATTTCCAAAACTTATGTGAAAGTTAAATACTCTAATCTTTGCAGCTAATGTGCCCATGTGCATGGTCAAGGATTTCGATTGCTTAGATGAGTTCAAGGCGAATATCACCAACATCAAGGACTGTCTGCAGTGCGAGCTGAGCTGCTCGAAGACTGTCTTCAACATTGACAAACTCATTAAAATGTTTGTTACTTTTTGATATAATTCATCTAAAAAGTATTTGATTTCCTACCCATTTTTCAGAGTGGACCGACCAGAGAGCACAGGTGTGCTGGTGGAGTTTCTCACCTGGCCGATCATCCGCTACAAACGTGAGGTCCTTTTCGGCTGGGTGGATCTGCTGGTGTCGTTCGGCGGAATTGCCAGTCTTTTTCTCGGATTTTCACTGCTGTCAGGGGTGGAGATAATATACTATTTCACCCTGAGAGCCTGCTGCATGGTCTATAAAAATCGGGTGAGTTATCAACAGCTATATATGAATGGAGTCGTATGCTATATACCACATTTCAACATCACAGCAAGAGCTGTACGAGATCGAGGAGCGAATCCGTCAGGAGCCACCACCCTTAATAGATTTGGGATTGAGTTTGAAATCCCACTCGAGGCCATGTGTTGGGGATGCTCCTACTTCGGCGGTGCTGAAGGTCAGACCAGCGGTGGAAACTGCAACGAATCATCAGAGAAAAAACGAAAAGGTTGGTCCATCAGAATTCTTTGTTTTAAGTGCTTGGGGTATTTTAAAAACAAATTTTCCAGGACTATTCGATCAACACAAAAAACTATTATAATACACCTAAAGTTTGGCCCGACCATGGGTATGCAAGTAATACAAAAAATCCCTGGACAACGTACGACCATTCGCAATATATGCCCTAAATCGAAATCATCGGATCAATAAACTAAAATTTTTATAAATACAAATAATAAATTGCGGCTAACGCTGAAAATGTGTAGATGCCATAAAACAAATTATTCAAATTAAAATGAAAAACTTAAACAAAAGAAAATTAAATATATAGAATAAATAAAAGTGGAGAGGAGGCTTCTCTTCGATAATGCAAACGATATATTTTATATCCAAAAACATTTGAAAAAATATTTTAAACCTATGTATAGTTGGGCTTAAAATAATGTTGTTGTAAAAAAATTAATTCTTGCTAATGAAAATAGTACCGTATAAATTTCATAACATTTACTATAACATCCCTAACCTTTGGATTTAATTCATTCCTGAAAATGTCTCATAACTTCATGAGTAAACAAAAAAAATAAATGAGTTTTTGGAATTATAGTGTTAATTTAAGCCCAGCTGTACTGAAAGTAAATAACAAATAAACATTTAACCGTCGAAGAATATATTTAGCTTCCCATGCACCAGCCGCTGCGGAAAGTGAATACTCGTATCTTGTAGTTTATTTATATATTTTTTTCAATTTATTAAAAACAATGTATTACACACATATGTATATGTGCACCAGCAATAAATAAAATCCGTTAGTGAAATACTTTCGTCTGCCGCGGGAATGTTTCGATGAATTTCGCTCCCAATTAAACTTCAACTCTGTGCTGCATACTTAGCGGCGGGTTCACTGCACCATGGTGGTGGCGATGGCGATGGCGATGGCGATGATGGATGTGGGGTTTGAGCAACTAACCGCCGACCCACCCGCAAAACTCCCATCTTCAGTTCCAACTGCATCTGTGGCTCCCATTCCGAAAACCCTAACCCAAACCCAAACCCACTGCCAAACCCCGGCATTCAGCCACAGCTCAGCAAAGGCGAAAAGCATTTTTCAGTTAACATCGTTGCTGGCTCATTGTTAATTCCTTGTAGTGCTGCCCACTATTTACGAACGAAAATGGTAGGAGGAAGCCCCTAAAATGGCCAAAAGCCTATTCTAATTGCTTACGTGCATAATGAAGCAATGGCCAGCGCTTAACTTTAAATTAACCGACTATAAAGGTTGGGTTACTCTTGATAGGTTTAAATAAATGTGTTTTAAGCTTATAGTTGGCTAGCCCCTTAATGAAATGATTTTAATTTTTTGGGCATTGTTCTGTAAAGTTTTTCAAATTTAAACTATGTATAATTGCTACTCAAGCAAATTGAAGTCGAGCTATTGAGCATAAAGGTTGGCTGGCACTGTAATATATTGTATTAATTATGAAAAAAACATGCCTTAAAGTATTAAGTAGCTAACATTGCAGCACTGATGGGACGTAGAAAGAGAGAGAGCGAGTGAGTGCGGAAGGGAGAAAGCGCGTTAGACTCCGAATACGGCCAACAGGTGGAGCGTGGGTGGTGGTCGCAGTTGTAATTGCAGTTGTAAGCCGCGTAGTACGCAGTGATGTCTGCTTTTCCGCTTTTGCAGGGGTTGGGTGTGCCGGGTGTGTGTTTTCCCGGCAGCGCATTCAATTTGCCCGATTTCCCCCCACCATTTGCATATTTCTGTGAATGAAACCGCCGCATAGTTTGTATTTTTTTTCCTCACTGGCGAAAAAAGAGGCGGTTCCATGGCTAGGATTAAGATGCAACGATCGCTTTATGACCCCCGCCGTCAAGGATTAAAAAACTGTGCGGAATTTAAAGGAAAAAATAAACTAAAACAATAAACAATAAAAAGTAAATAAAAAGAAGTCAGCGCAAGTAAGCCAAAGAAAATAAAAAACAATTAGTGCCTGTTAACTGTTAACGGGCTTGTTGACAATGCACACACGCCCACAAATAAATAAGAGCACATTCATTCATGGATTCACGGAAAAAAATAAAGTCAAGTCGAATTCTATTTGTTAAGACTGAAGACAATATATATGTATAAAAAAAAAATCATTTTAATTCTGTTTCTATAGAGCTTTACTAAACTAAATCTTAACATAAGCCAAATATAGTATAACATGGTCTAAAATTATTACAACAAATAAACACAATAAGTATTATTTTTCAGTTTTTTAAGAACATTTAATAGAATTTAAGAATTTATGTTTCTTGGTATTTACGTCAGTGTAATCGCATGCATAAATAAATTTAGCAAAGTTAATTGAAATAAGCGAGCTGAGAGCTATGTTTGCGTGCTTAAAAAAAGGAAAACAAATTTTCAAATCTTTTACCCTTCTCCTTTCTCCCCTCTTTCTGAAAATTGCGCAAAAGGGGAAAGAACAAACAACCAAGCAAACAAAAACACAAACACACACAGGCTCTCTCTTTCGAATTCCGTTTGAGAGCTCTTGTGTGCTTGATTTTCGATTTGCATTTCTAAAATGGCCCATAAAAGTGCTAAAACTAATGAAATCGCTTTGATTCAGTTGATGGCCATTGCCAAGTTGTTAAAAAACTAATTAAACAATTAAGAAGTGGCTGAGAGAAAGGTGTGGGCAGTTTTATTTTCAGCCTTTTTTTGAAATTCAACGGTGATTGGCTTCAGGTTTTCTTCCAAACAAGTTTTTAAGTTGAATCAGACTTTAAAATTATCTCATTTTTTGTATTTAATAACAATATTTGCAAATTGTTAAAAATTTAAGTCCATCAATAATACATAATACGCTTAGTCTAAATTCAAGTTTATTGTTCGTTTTGTTTATATTTCAACAAAAATGTTGACCAACGTGCTTAAAAAAGAGCTGCGCTTAATGGTAGCATAAGTGCTTACTAATGACGTATACGTAATATTTATTTATTAAAAATGGGAAATAGTTCACTAAAAAAAAAACTGTCTTTTAAAATAACGTTTTTATTAAACCACAAAGGAAAAAATAAAATTGTTTAAATTTTTTAGGAATACTAAAAAATAATTCTTGTAATTTAATTACGTATACGTAATGTATTTTTTCATTACAATTTTATAAAGTGGCTCGAACAAATTTTTATTGCACTTTGTACTGTGTGTGCCTAAGTGATAAAAACTAAGTTGAAAAAACAGGCGGTGTAAAATAAATCTAAATAAATTTAGCCAGGACAATGGCAATTGCTGAAATGTGGCTTGCGGATACGCAATGTGCCAGAGGCACCGGAACCGGAAGTTCTGTGCAGTGTGTACTAGCTTTAACAGAAAATTGCAAACACCCCACGAAACATGGCGGCAAACAAATGAGCAGACGGCGGTGGGCGTGGCGCCTTCTGACAGGCAGCTTAATTAAGATTGCGAGGATAATGCAGAAATTAAGACACAAAATGCCACGAAAAGAACGGGCGAAGTTTTGCAAACGCCAAAGTTTTCGCCAGCCAGACGCAGGACGAAATACATATATTGCCATGATTTTTACGAGTAACTTCGATTTGGAAATGCCAGCAACAAGCTAAAGACCACAAAGCATTCTATAAATTTATTGAACTAAATCCTTCGAACGCAGTGCACACAAATGTCACTAATAAAGTTTATGGTTTCCAGGAAGAAGAGTCAAAAATATTTTATTAGAAGCAAGAAAATAGGGAACATCTAAAAAGTGCTTCTGAAATTTATACCTACTACAATTATTTTTTTTTTAGTTCTCTTAAAAAACTATATCAACAAAGCATTTTATTTCTGCATTGAAGTCTCTTAATTGTTTTAAATTCGTATTACTTTAAACCACTTTTGCATCACTGGTGACGATGAAAGCCTGGCAAGTGCTTCTGTTTCCGCTGGGACTTTGATTGCATTCGACTTTTGGCTGCAGTTCAGCCCCATTTTCACACCACATTCCACCCCCTTTCCACCCACTCGACAACAACAATATTGTCTTTTTGGCTGAAGCCAAAAAGCTGGAAAGTTTTAGCCCGACAACGTAAACATAAAGTAAATGCAGTGCCAAAAACAAAAGTCAAGTCCACTCGAGTGTCCAACTGTTTTTCCTGTGTGAGTGAGTATCTGTGTGTCTCGAAAAGTATCTGTGCGTCCAGAGTGTCTGTGTGTGTGTGTGTGTGTGTGTGTTGTTAGGACCATTTTTGTGTGTATGTGTTGGCTTGTTGATGCGTGTGCATGTGATCTGCTGGCTGCGATTAGAAAATGATTTACACCTCTGGCTCTGAAAAAAAAGTTGGGGGAAAAAGGATGGGGCTTACGACGTCTGCAAAACTGGTTACAGGAAGAAGAAGAAGCGAGATATTCTTCTTCCTCTTCTCCATCAGCGCTAGCTCTTCTTCTTCCTTGTATGCAATTACACATTTTATTATTATTAACGTTAATGTCGCCCCTGGGACGGCACTAACGCCCGGCTCCACATAAAAGGCGCTTATTAATATGAAATTGCAATAAACTACAAGACACAGCACACACTGCAATCCGTTGTTGCACTTAAAGAATTTTCAATACCAATTAATGGGCTTTATTTAGTTACACTAAGTTACAAGAAATTGTTTAGCTTGAAGTGGCCAAGTGGACTACAAACTCAATATTACAAAAATGGAAATCTACATATTTATAATTCGAGCTAAAAACTATATTTTGTATCAATGAGGAACAACTATAAGAAGCTCTTAAGCCTAGTTCGTGTGTAAAACTATAGTCCATAAATTCTAATGGCATATTATACAAAATTATAATTCAAAATGTTATTTAATTATATTTTTGCAAGGAAGTGTGCCTTAAAATTGATTTCCTAAGCTTACAACATTTTAAGAATGCAAAGTAATAACCTATTTTTCGTTGTTGCTAAAGATGTTTTCTCTAAGAAGGGTTTTATTGTAGTTGCTTTGGTCCTGAAATTATTTTTTAGTGTATTTGGCCAAGCTAGAGCTTAAAGGAGCAACAGCTGGTGCGAGGGTAAGAGAGCATATGGTCGAAAGGGGACAAAGAAAGAGAAGGATCCCAGCCGGCGAATGTGCGGCTAAAAGCTAAGGGAGAAGCTCTGCGAAACAGCTGGCGAAGAAAGTTGTTCTCTTTCGCCCCCCTTAACCATGTTCCCCCACTCTCCTCTTTAATTCCTCTCTTGCCTAAGAAGAGGGTATCCTTTTCGAGAGTAAATCAAGCGGGCTACTTCGCCGCGCCACATATTTTATTAAGTTGGAAACCAGTAATAAAGTAGGAAGCTCTCTGCCAGCTGCAGCACACGCACACCCACACACACGTACACACCGATGCACTCTCCTCTCTCCTGCGGCGATGGGGTTGCTGTTGTTGCAGTGGCTACTGCACGCGCGAAAATGCCAAAAAACCAGGAGCGGATTCAGCGGATTGGAAAAACATGTTAGAAACACAAACAAAAATAAGAGGTTTATATAAAAATTATAACTAGAAACTATCAAGATTTGCTTTTAAAATTTTGTTTGTAAATGATAAAAAAGAGGAAGAAAACATTTAATAAAAATATATAAAAAATTATCATTGCATCAATAAAAATATATTGTCTACTTAGTTGGGTTTTAAGCTAAAGTAGGTACTTTTTAGAAAAAAAAAATAAGAAAATATTTTTTGAATGGCTTTATTTATTTGACATTCATAATGATTTGCTTTGAATGTCCTTTCAATATCTTTTGAATAATTTTTTATACAA